TCAACCCAGGCAGTGCACAGTTTGGTATGTCTGGTCTTGCAGTCTCGAGTGACTACTTTATCAACCAGTAGCTGGTGACTTGGGCGACGTCTGAGCTGGTGTGACTCTTATTTTTCTAACTCTCATTACCCATGAGGGTAATGAGAGTTGGAAAAATAGTGCTACCTGCCTCAGTAGCATTAAGGGCCTTGCCTAAGGACCCAGGCTGGATATTGACCGTGCCCTGATCAGGGTTCGAACCCCGACCTTTTCGTACCAAATATATCAGAATTTTTTTTTGTATTGTTATATTAGGAACATTATATTTGTCAGCACTTAGATGAAGATCAGATCACATTTTATGACAAATTAATGCAGAAAACCATGAAATTCCAACAGGTTCACATACTTTTTCTTGCCACTGTATCAGAGGAAACAAAAAGTGTAGATAAATCTGCCCAGCCGTTTAGTGCCTACTTTCAGTACTTGACACACAGTCTGAGGATTTTTCTGTGCTATGGACACATTTCAGGCAGCACCAAAACAGAATTCATTGAAATTTTAGTATCCATCCCCAGTGTGAGTGATAACACACTGGGGAGCAGTAAACCATAAACCAGGACTTTAATGGCTGAGTGATGTAGTTTTATATTTGTAAAACATGCTCTTTTCAATTCAATGTTTGGCTTAATTTCATGTCTTCTGACGCAAAATAGGTAAAACTAATAACCATCAGCAGGTTTATTATTGCCACTGTTAGTGACAGTAATAATCTATAGAATAAAGTGGAAAACAGCGTTAGGTTGAATACAATTATTGTATTACTGGAAGTACAGATTATGTAAACAACACTTAGGAGAATTTCCTCTGAAAACTAATTTTAAACAAGAGGAAATTGCTCATGTCTCCCTGGAGAATGATGTGAAATTATGTGAAACAGTAAGGGAATGCAGGAAATGAATTAAAACTCTAATCATATTTGAACTGCCCCTCAAGGAGATGCTAAACTGCCTAAAGCGATTTGGTTATGCAGGTGTTAATTGGATTTCTGTATAGATGTTGTAACATGCTGGCACAGGACACCTCATCAAGACATGATAAGTTTCAATAAGAGGAGCTGGAGGAGCTTTTCCATGTGTTGCTTTATCATACACTTCTGAACTGACTGTTTCTTATGTGTTTGTTGTCCTCCAGCCAGTATTTCCATGAGATGATTCTAAATGAGATCCGTAAAGCTCGGGAGTTGTACACCGGCATGGAGCTGGCTGCCGAGCTGAGCCGAATCCAACAGCGGCTGGACAACGTGGAGTGCCTTTCAGTCGACATTGTCATCAACCTGCTGCTGACGTACAGGGACATCCAGGTACGGCTGTTGAGTGCTGACTCTCTAAACATCAACACGTTGTCGTCATTTGTCAAATTACCTGTCCTGTCTTTGGGTAGTTAAACAGATGAGATCATTAGTGAAGGCAGTTGTCAGAGCCAGCAATCAGTCCACTGCTTCTGGAAAGTAACAAATGGAGCCTGTTTTCATTTGTTTAACATCTTCCTTTTACGAGAAACAGGAGCTTAAACAAGAGTTTCAATCATTTAGGCTGATAGAAACACTTCCTGTTCTTGTTATTTGATATAAAGCAACCTGTGTTTGTGCTGTCCACCTTTTCAATCAAATGCCCTCTGGCAGTTTGATTCATAGAGATAAAACTGAACAACAGTTTGGTTATGAAAATTAGCCATTTATCAGATCTTCTGAGGCCAGTGATGACATTGAAGTGACAAAAAAAAAAGTATACACCCATGTTTTAGTCACAGCTCATGCACTAGTGAACAGAAACAACTTATGGCCATACGTTTGCACCCTGAGAACATGATTCTTAAGAGAAAGACATGCACAAACTTCCAGCAGAGCATCCCAAAAAGTTTCTAGGGTAACCTGTGAGGGGGGGCTCAGACTTTCAGCTAACTACTGATGCTTCAGATGATCTGGGTGTGTTTGCTGATGTCTCTAACCTTGGCAGTGGAAGCTACTGTAAGAACCTATTGTACTGTAAGTCAGAGAGAGGTCACTGCCTTAGCATCAGTCTATCAGCGTTGTCACTTTACTCAAACAGGGGCCATCGCAGACCGCCTGTAGACAGCTCTAGGCAAAGCTTTTGGTCTGCTTGTCTTAAATCTGCCACTCTTCCCACTCTTTATTCTCCGCATTGCAATGACACTCAGTCCAGATCCTCCCACTCACTATAGGTAGCGCTCGGCCTCGTGAATTATTCATTAGAACAACAAGCGCTGACATGCTGAATTATTCAATTTGCTTTGGGTATAGTGACTAACTATGTAGGCAAGTAGGAGCAACAAACATATGATGAATGGGCCACTCAGTTATTGAAGTGCTTTTTGGTGCTAAGCAGACGGTCGAGTCTCAGACAGAATGAATAACAGGATATCAGAAACTGTCCCTGTGGCCTCAGAGCAGCTCAGCACCTTGATGAGTTGGAGGGTACAGTATGTTTGAAGGACAGTGATGCAGAGATACAACGGTGCAGTTAGCAGTGACCAGGGTGAGAGCGAAACAGGAGCTCATCAGTGTATTTCTTACTTATTGTCTAGGATTATGAGTCCATTGTGAAACTGGTGGAGACTCTGGAGAAGCTTCCGACCTTTGACCCTGTGGTTCATCCTCATGTGAAGTTCCACTACGCCTTTGCACTGAATCGGTAAGATGGCGAGCGTGACAAAGTACACGAGGCGGCTGCGCATACGGCCAGGGGCAAACACATAGGCCTGACCAGATGCTAGTCAGCCTACGCATGCGGAGACACACAGACACATAATCTGTATAGAAAGTGATTTTTATTTCAAATGTGAATTAGACATTTGTGACCAAACAAATCATTAGACTATCAGTGACCATACTGGTTTGATCGGAATCGTAAACTGAATAGGTCTGGTGATATATTTATTTTCACCACGGCCAATGAAAATACTCCCACAGAGTAAAGCAAAGATTGGTCAACAGTACATTAACAGTTTTCTAAATGAGTACTCATAGTATACTCTTAAACTGCAAGTAACCAGAGAGACTGACTGTGATTTAAGGGCAACTATGAAGTTTTTTCATGTAGAAAATGATGAACTCCAGATAGGAAACATGGGAGCTGTAAATAAACCAGAGACAGTGTGGTTTTATGATAAACCAGAGGTTTTTTTTTTGTTTTTGTTTTAAAGGTAGTACTTATCTTCTAATAGCAACAGTGGTTAATTCAAAAACTTCAGTTCAGGTAGGAGTTTTAAGGACTGTATATTTGTGTTTATCTAGTGGATGTAAAAGGGTTTCAAGACAAACAAAGATGGGGGGAATTTTTCTTTTAAACCAGCAGCTTTCAGGACATTTGGGATCCCAAACAGCAGTGATATTATTAACAGCGTGTGTGCAACTATGCAGCTCAAGAAAAAGACAGATGTACAATGCAGGAGCCTATTTCTCACCAGCTGCTTCTCTTGTAAACTTCCTGCGGTTTTCATGGTGTGACTGCCACAAACAGCAATATGGCATGCTGTTCTTTAATTTGGCAGCAACTGGAAAATGTTTCTGCAGGGTGACAAGATACCCATATGGCAGGACCCTGAGTCTACTGGCTCAAGGCAGGACACTCAGGGCTTTGTTTTCCTGGTACAGGGCGCAGAGGCCAACAACAGGTGAACAATCTTTTGCAATTTTGGTGACCACCGATGTTGGCACAGGATTTCCCACCTTTGAATTTGAATAATTTATTATAGATTTTTGGGTTATTTTAACATTGTTTTTTAATTATGTTGTGGTATTGCAGTAAGTGCTGTTCTTCCTGGAGCGTCTCTAAAACTCCAACCCATCTAGATGTCCTGACAGTCACCTTCATTTCCATAGTAAAATATGGTACTAACGGCGTTACCTAACCACACTGTGATGGAGGATTGCATCCATGTTGCCCTCTGCTAGTGGACAGTTTAGTGTTGCTCAATAGTCCTGATAAGATGCTGTTCTGATAAAAAAAATATGACAAAGTTATTGTTTAATTCTTAGTCCTCAAAAAGTTCTAACTGTCTTAGTTGTTGGTTGTAGTATCTGTTCTATTTTGAGTGTGACATGAATGAATTCTGCACTTGAAGTGGAGTTATATAAACCAGCATGTGGCCCACACCAAACCTTGAAATTCTGAATAGTTGGCCTTAATAAAAGCGTATGATTGATCAGAAGTGCTGTAGGTGCTCTGCTTGCAAATGAAAGGTTGTGGTGAGTGTGGAATAATTGGCTGCAGCCTCTTGTCAGGCATGTGTGTGCTGAATGCTGATCGTGGGTTGTTGTGCAGGTCTCGCTCCTCAGACTTTGAGCGATGAAGAATCTGCTCCGTCTAAATACCCATCGGCTCTGTGGAGAGGAGTAAGAAACATGGATGTGTGAGGAGAGAGCAGGTCACGTTTCCATAAGTGCTCTCCCTCTGGACAGTCTCCATGACAGTAGCTGTCAACTCATAAGTTTTATTTAACCTGGTGCTTTGGAGAAGAGCCACGTTATGTTTATCAGGATTTTCTTGATTATCACACATTGTGCCTGTATGTCTTAACACCATTCATTTCACTCTGAGGTTTGTGTTTCGACACATCGGCAACTCAAGAACGCAGCCTGGGTGAAATTTCAGACCTCGAGTTAAAAATTTCCCTAATAGATGTTGTAGCATTTTACTGCATAAATTAGCATAATAATAAGGAACCTGGGACATTAGTGTTAGTAGTCATGACAGTTTTGCACTAACACATGTCTGGATAGACACTTGCTCAAAGTGACTGGTTTTCACAGATTTCTAACTCAGGTTGACAAATGTCAGAACCTTCCTGACTTTGCATGTTTGTGTGTTGTTGTGTGTATTTCTGTCTATGTGTGTGTGTGTGTGAGCGTAGGAGGAACCAGCCAGGCGACAGACAGAAAGCCCTGGATGTCATGCTGCCCCTGGTGGAGGACAAGGAGCAGGTAGCCTCAGACATGTACTGCCTGGTGGGACGAATCTACAAGGACATGTTCCTGGAGTCTCATTTCACTGACACACAGAGCAGAGACAAGGGCACGCTGTGGTGAGAGAGCCGAACAGGATGTCAGCACATTTCTGTTCATTCACTGCGCCACATATAAATATTGTTATAAGAAGTGTATTCGAAGGACACGGTGAATGATAAATAAATGGCTTTAAGGTGACTCACTGGATCGTGGCATCGCAGTAAACGTTTTCCATGAATAAAAGACTCTTATAGCTGTTAGTGAGAAGGTTAGTGAGAAGAATTACAAGCGTGTCTCATGACAGCTCACTGCAGCCTTGACAGGCAAAGGGCATCTTGCATTAATGTGCAAAAGCATTAGAGTAATATGCAGAAGATCCAGTCATGTCAGTTAGGAACAAATGATGATCACATTACCAAAATGACTGGAGAGTTAAAGTGATACTAGTAGCACAATGAGTTTGTGATGTAAAATGTTCATGGCAGGTGAACAGCATGGGTCTATGCATCAGTTGTGCTTGTTCCCGGGAGTACAGGCTGGTGGCGGTAAGAAGAAGTGGTGATATGCAAATATTTTTGGGTCTGTTACTCCCAGTCATGCCTCATTTGATTCATACTGTAAATTTTATATATTTCCATTTTAATAGCTTGAAACTATTTTTTGGTAGAAGTCTTTGCCTCTAAATTGTGAAGGCTGTCGGGAACATTTTGCACCACTCAAGTGGAGTTTTTCTCTGTTTCTTTCTTTTTTATCTGTGTGTCTTGAAACATTACAGTATCGAATAAAAATGTAGCCCCACAGTCCAAAGACATGCAGCTTAGGTTGACTGGAGTGTGTGAAGAGTGACTGTGGGTTTGTGTGGTTGTTTGTCTACTTGTCAGCCCTGTGATAGACTGGCGACCTGTCCAGGGTGGACCCCGCTTCTCGCCCAATGTCAGCTGGATAATGGATAGATGGAAAAATGTAGTACAAAAGCAGGGGAAGATGCAGTATCAATGTATTCTGCGCATCTTAACTTGTGTGACTGAGTGTCATAAATAACATTTCCTTTGAAATATCATGAGAAAAGTCCGAATGAAGTCCTCTTGCTGTCTTTCAGTGTGCAAGGGGTTTGAGTACTATGGAAGTTTTAGTAGTATGGTCACAAACAAACAATGATTTTGTGATGTGAGCATTAAGAGGCTAACAGTGTCTGATGGGAGTTGACTTAATAATAACACAAAGCTGCTGATTGGCTTCCTCTGAAAACTGCTTTTAAGATATCAGACCTTGTCAACTGAATATGCTGCTTAGATAATCGAGCTCCCATCTGGCTTGTTTTCAGGTCCTTGGCAGAGGCCCCTAATAACATTCACACCCTGTCCCTCAGCAGAACAGATTGCTCATTAAATAAATGAAATTTCTTGTTATGTGCGCATACTTACTGTTGCTGTTTGCCATTCTGCAGCCCCCAACTCAATATGGCAGTAATTGTTTTTTTTGTAACTTGACATGTCTCGGGGAGCCAGGGGAGCATCATGAAGCTATCAGTTATCTAAAACATTCTTGGGACTTGGAATGACTCATTTCTTGGAGCAGAATTGTTTATTGGAGTAATATTTTCTTCTCCTTCCAGGTTTAAAAAAGGCTTTGAGTCAGAGCCAACACTGCACTCTGGTATCAACTATGCTGTTCTGCTCCTGGCAGCTGGACACCAGTTTGACATGTCTTTCGAGCTTCGCAAAGTGGGTGAGTGGACAGCAGACTGGATATTTGTGTCTGTGACCTAAATATGCTGCATTTCATTTTATTCCATTGAGCCTGCTGACCAACTGCTGAGTAATCAAGCTCTGCTCTGCCCCTCATGATGTCACCCATCTATCAGGGCACAAATTTGACTATTGTAGTTGATGATTACTACATGGAATTCTACAGCGTCTAAAGGTGCACTGATCAATATTTTTGTATTAACAATAGAAACAATGTGCATATTTAAAAAAAACAAAAAAAAAAACAAAAGTTTCTCAAACTGACATGACTGTGTTTCCCTTCAGTTCTAAGCATCTTACTGCCTTTAAGCTGTTGGTTTTCGTTGTATGACCTGCAACTTGCCCTATTTCTAGCTGTTTTGAAAAAGCTCTGACAAACCAACATTATATTACCTGTTCAGCAGCAGACAGACAAAGTTAGCGGCCAGGCGGTGAACACAGTGGCGCATTTAGCAGCTAAAGAGACCGAGAATTTTGGGGTTGACAGAGACGATAACAGAGCTAAAAGAGAATGAATAATGGGCTTCGTTCATTCACAGCTCCATGTCTGCGGAATGAGTAATTAGACAGCAGTTTGCCAACACCTTGGCCATGTCAGCGTTAAAGGGTGAGAACAAGTGTTGTGTTGAGTTCTTGTTGCGCTGTCCTTAAGTGGCCAAAAAATCTTTTATTGCATTTACAGATTTACACTAAAAAGCAAAATTCTCTTTCTAGCTTTGATTTAGTCTCCAACCATCAAGGTTCTTTAGCTGCTAAATGCTCCACTACTAGTTGCTACTATAACTGGGTCCCACCTGCTAATAGCAAATAGAGTAGGTTTTTTTTTTCAGTTATCAGCTACAAAGTGGATCAAAAGTAATTATATGGGCCCCAGGAATTTAATATAGTCAGCTGTGCAAGAAGCTTTAAAGCTGCAGAGCTGGGTGGTAATTCCTTTGAATCACTGCATTATGAAAATATCAATTATAGCTCCTTTAATAAATGAAATTTGATAATATATAGTAGGTGATTTGCAAGCAAGTATGCTGTTAATCTGTGTTCCCTGAAGTCTGAGCCTGCATCTCCCTAAAGTAGCCCCACCTATAATTCATGTTGCTTAACATCAGTTTGTGATGGTCCAAGGGCAAACGGAACAAAAATGATCCTTCTATTTTATACAGATTACCTTTATATCCATCATCTTTTTTCCAGGAGTGAAGCTGAGCAGTCTACTGGGTAAAAAAGGCAGCCTGGACAAGCTGCAGAGCTACTGGGATGTGGGGTTCTTCCTGGGTGCCAGCATCCTGGCCTGTGACAACACTAAGGTCATCCAGGCCTCAGAGAAACTCTTCAAACTCAAAGCCCCCATCTGGTCAGAACACAGATAAGCCTCTCTCAGATTAGCTTGCTGAAAAATACATTTTCGACCACATCCGTCACCAACTGTGCCTGTGTCATTGTGATCCGAAGTGTGTTCTGCTTTCTCTTGAAACCATAGTGGCCATCTGTGGCCGTTGTGCAAGCATTTGGTGTATTTCTCAGATAAATCAGAAAATATTGCCAGAAACTCACTTTGCTCATTTGAACAGCACCCCTCTCTCTCTTTACATGGATTTGATGGATTTAGCAGCCTGATGTTGTGACATTTTGTGAGGAGTTTAAAACGTCTACAGTGTAAATAATTTGTTCTGTGGAGGAAAAGTGAAAGAAATGCTTTTCTACAACAGGAGACACAACTATAAACAGGCAGAAGTTTGACATTAACATGGTGCAGACAGGTAGTGGAGAGGCGAATACTTTCCCCCTCTCCCGTATTAATGTTTTGTAATTGTTGCCAATAAGATAACTACCATGAGAACATTTTTGGTTTTGTCTCAGTGTTTTCTAAACCAACACTAAATCAATTATTAATGTATATACTGTATACATATATATATATATATACAGTGGTGTGAAAAAGTATTTGCCCCCTTACTGATTTCTTATCTTTTTGCATGTTTGTCACACTGTAATGTTTCAGATCATCAAACAAATTTAAATATTAGTCAACGATAACACAAGTAAACACATCATGCAGTTTTTAAATGAAGGTTTTTATTATTAAGGGAAAACAAAATCCAAAACTACAAAGCCCTGTGTGAATAAGTGTTTGCCCCCTAAACCTAATAACTGGTTGGGCCACCCTTAGCAGCAACAACTGCAATCAAGCGTTTTCGATAACTTGCCATGAGTCTGCCACAGCGCTGTGGAGGAATTTTGGCCCACTCATCTTGGCAGAATTGTTGTAAGTCAGCCACATTGGAAGGTTTTCGGGCATGAACTGCCTTTTTAAGGTCATGCCACAGCATCTCAATTGGATTCAGGTCAGGACTTTGACTAGGCCACTCCAAAGTCTTCATGTTGTTTTTCTTCAGCCATTCAGAAGTGGACTTGCTGGTGTGCTTTGGATCATTGTCCTGCTGCAGAACCCAAGTTCGCTTCAGCTTGAGGTCACAAACGGATGGCCGGACATTCTCCTTCAGGATATTTTGGTACACAGCAGAATTCATGGTTCCACTTATCACAGCATGTCTTCCAGGGCCTGAAGCAGCAAAACAGCCCCAGACCATCACACTACCACCACCATATTTTACTGTTGGTATGATGTTCTTTTTCTGAAATGCGGTGTTACTTTTACACCACACATAATGGGACACACACCTTCCAAAAAGTTCAACTTTTGTCTCGTCTGTCCACAGAGTATTATTCCAAAAGTCTTGGGGATCATCAAGATGTTTTCTGGCAAAACTGAGACGAGCCTTTATGTTCTTTTTGCTCAGCAGTGGTTTTCGTCTTGGAACTCTGCCATGCAAACCATTTTTGCCCAGTCTCTTTCTTATGGTGGAGTCATGAACACTCACCTTAACTGAGGCAAGTGAGGCCTGCAGTTCTTTGGATGTTGTTGTGGGGTCTTTTGTGACCTCTTGGATGAGTTGTCGCTGCGCTCTTGGGGTAATTTTGGTCGGCCGGCCACTCCTGGGAAGGTTCTCCACTGTTCCATGTTTTCGCCATTTGTGGATAATGGCTCTCACTGTGGTTCGCTGCAGTCCCAAAGCTTTAGAAATGGCTTTATAACCTTTTCCAAACTGATAGAGCTCAATTATTCTCTTTCTCATTTGGTTTTGAATTTCTTTGGATCTCGGCATGATGTCTAGCTTTTGAGGATCTTTTGGTCTACTTCACTTTGTCAGGCAGGTCCTATTTAAGTGATTTCTTGATTGCGAACAGGTGTGGCAGTAATCAGGCCTGGGTGTGGCTAGAGAAATTGAACTCAGGTGCGATAAACCAGTGTTTTGACAGGGGGGCAAACACTTGTTCACACAGGGCTATATAGTTTTGGATTTTGTTTTCCCTTAATAATAAAAACCTTCATTTAAAAACTGCATGATGTGTTTACTTGTGTTATCTTTGACTAATATATAAATTTGTTTGACGATCTGAAACATTACAGTGTGACAAACATGCAAAAAGATAAGAAATCAGTAAGGGGGCAAATACTTTTTCACACCACTGTGTATATATATATATATATATGTATATATATATACAGTATATATATTTGAAAATTGTAACATAAGGCCAGAAATATCCTTCAGTTGAACATTATTGCCTGATTAACATTTGCACATCATCCAAATTCTTAATTGTCGGAGGCATCATTTCAGATTTTACATTAATTCCATAAGGTTTGATGATGCTGTGTCACAGACTCCAACATGTCGAAGAGTACAGTAAACCACAGCTCTTTTCATTTATTCTCTTGCAGTGCAGCCTGCTGTTCTTTATTTGTGCTAGTGCTGTGAAAACTCTTTAAGTTTCCATTATTGTCACAAAGACAAATGTTACCCACTATGTGGAAACACAATCATATGGTTTTGTTTGTTTTTGTAATCCTCTTGATCTATGTTCATGGGTTCGAAACAATATAATATAAATGCTAATTATCTGTCAGTGAATTATTTTGTTTGTATCATCTGACTTTTTTTTTTTCCTGATGAGAAATGAGATGTGTGTGGTCCTGACATTTGATTATATTTAGTTAAATAAAGATTTGGCTTGTACCTCTCAGAGCACACTGCAATGTTCTTTTTACCCTTTTTGTATTCTTTTTGTGTCTCTTGGTTTCAGGTATTTGTGCTCGCTGGTGGAGACCATCTTGATTTACCAGCACTTCAAAAAGCCTGCTGTGGAGCAGCCGGCCCCCAGACAGGAGCTGGTGGACTTCTGGATGGACTTTTTGGTCGAGGCAACCAAGAAAGACGTCTCTTCTGTCCGATTCCCTGTAAGGAGCACCAGTTAAAACCAAATAATAAATAACAGCACATGAGCCAAACGGTGCTTGAGATTAATATGTAGAAACACAAGGAAAAGGACATGCATGCTCGGCAAACTCAGGTTTTGTCTTTTCTCCAGGTGTTGATATTGGAGCCCACTAAAGTGTACCAACCTTCATATTTGTCTATAAATAAAGACGTGGAGGACAACACAGTGTCCATCTGGCACGTGGCTCCTGATGAGAAGGTGAGAATCCAACTGCAGTTAAAAATGATTTACAGGATATTGTTTGGTGACACTTTGTGTTGCTCAGACTGTTTTACTGTAGTTTGTATTTGACATATTTGACATATGCCTCTGTAAATCTAAGGTGAAGCCACATCTTCAGCAGCTAGAAAACAACCAATTTATCTGTCTTTTCCAGTACTTGTACTAACTGTTTGGATTTAGTTAGTTGGTTAGTATGGCTTGATACCAGCAGTGTTGTAGTACTCGAGTCCAGGACTCGGATTCAAGTCTGACTGGAGTCCTGATTTTCATGTCCATACACTCTAACAGGTTTTCGGTCTAGAAAATAACCCTGAGATTGAAACAGTGTGAGCAGTTGTGTTGGCAGAGTGTAGTAAAGTTAAACATGTCGCACTAATCAACTATGTTGCGTTACAAAGATGATAGGCCTAACACAAGCCAACATAACTGTCATCGCAATAACACTCCAGCTTAACGTAGCTACAGTAACTTCTGTCTTCAACACTGACCTGTCTGGGTAAGCTTTGAAGTTGGACCTGGTTTTTCCCCATACTCTTTACAGCAGACAGGTTTTTTTTTTGTTTTTGTTAGGCACAGCGTTTTTGACACATGTCTCTTTATGTGGGACTTGGAATAAAATATGTTGAGTTATAAAATTGAAAAAGCTAAATGTTTAATCATCTCAAATATATGCAGCTGAGTCTGAACGGATTGTGCGAGTTACTGGTAAGACATACATGAAACATGTTAAGCAGGGAATGCTTACATCTTTCAAAAGCAAGCGAAGGTAATGGGTGATGGGAGGCTATAGTGTACAGACAAAAGCACAAGGAGTACTTGTGACTGACTGGCTGGCAGGTCATAAAATCATGCAAAATCATACAGTACATTGGTACACCACAGTCATCTACCACACCAGTTTTTACCGGTTTCACAGTACTTAATTAGTACTCTCTAACAGTATCATGCTGCCAGTAACCATAGTAACAGTATGGATGCTTGACATTATCTAAATGGTTAAACTAAGTGATGATTAAACCCAATACACTTCTCACATGTCAAAATAATGGTTAAACTAAGTGATGATTAAACCTAATACACTTCTCACATGTGGAAAGTGATGAGCTTCAGTTTTTCAGGTTTTAATCTTTGGTCAGATGCTGTGACGTGATACTGGGCCCATGGTTGCTGTGATGAAGTCTTGGCATCTGCCTTATTGATTATTTTCTCATATTGTAGCACTGATCATGTACCTACCCTACCAACAAAAGCATGGACACACTTTCCCATTGCATGTGCCTTGCACAGCAGCAAATAAATGTTGTTGCCTGGCAGAAACCAATGCAAGTAAATCTTCTGCATCAGCTACACTGACGTCATAGTTTCATATAATTCATGTGCTAGTCATTTTAATAAAACCCACAAAAGAAATTTTATCACAGTAAGGTCGATCAATATATTTCCGAGTAATGCTTCTCCTTGTCCAATACGACTCCCAGTCTGCCGCTATCAGTATTATCAGTGTAGAAGCTCTAATGATAGTATTTGTTTTGATCTGCTCTGCAGAACAAGGGGATCCATGAGTGGAACTTCAGTGGCACATCAGTACGAGGGGTCAGGTCAGTGTCTGCTCTCTCTAACGTCACACTCACAGTACAGGCCACACACTTGTCTCCACAGAAGCTTAAATTTATCACCTGAACAGGTGGTAGGTTGGATGAAACTCACATTGAAGAGGTGAAACTATCCAGTATTTCGCAATTGGAAAAATAAGATGAGTCAAACAAAAATAAACTAAATATTGTAAAATTAATTTAATCACCTTGAAGGGTCCTGTTCCTTTAGGCTGCACACCTCTAAACTAGATGAATTTTCTAAATAATTTCTGCCATTGAGGAGAATGTCACACCTCTCTTAAACCAGCCCTGTTTTGTAATTAGCCCATATATTTGGAGGATTAAATAGTAGCATCCATCAGTTGCAGGCTAATGTTCAATAGTAGCATCAGTGCATAGAAAGAAAATCTGAAACAAAGGTCCAGTCATGTAAAAACAGGAGAGACCTGACCGAGATGGTGTCATGAGAACAGTGTTACGAGGAGAAATACAACACAGATGACACAAAGAAAAACAAACTCACATACTACACAAAAGCATAAACAACATCTAGTTAAGGTTCAGTATGTAAATTAGCTGTAAACATTCAATTAAACTGAACATACACTAATCATCCTAGAGAACAGTTCCTTCCTGTCTGTATAAAAAATATTATCTTCAAGCACTTGTTTTGTCTAAACTTTTTTTTTTAATGCACAACCCTGACTTCAGTGAAACTAGTAATTTAAATAATCATTCTTATAACACTGTTTCAAACTAGGAAAAAAACTGAAAGATTAGCAAAACTAAAATGAGTGTGGAAAAAACATGTAAAACATAAAACTATAGAAATATGTAGGATGAAATAAATGGATTTAATGCTAAATACATGTACAGTTTGTAAAGTTTCACATTAAAACCAAACATGTTGAATGTTCCAAGATATGGGTGAGTGATAATTAAAGGAAAATCCTGAATAATGTGTATCACAGTTCCACTCTGTATCAGAGATCTCCCTTAATGCCACAGACAGTTTTCATATCTCGCTCCACGCAGAGAGACGTGGAGGGCCGTGCTCACATGTTGCTAGGGAACGACTTGTTCTCTGTGCCCACTCAGACAGTCAGCAGGACACAATAGCAGTTCTGCGAGCAACAATGCAACCACACATACAGAGGTCCTCCGTTGTCTGGCTCAGCAGATCTAGACAACTGCTCATCCCAATGGATAAAAGTTTCAGTTAGTTGTGAACTGAAGCACCATTTAATTTGATAGTTTGTAAAACAGTTTGTTCCAGATGTAGAATTTGTCTAAAAGCAAACTCTGTACCTGCTGCTGTAGCTCATACTCATCATACTGCATACATATCAGTAGGAGTGTAGCATGTATATTTGCTGCATCTGTGTGTACACGTTTGTCCCATCTACAAGTGGGCTTTACATTTTGACGGAGTGGTCGTCCACATGCAGTGACGTTCTATATTTCATTCTCAAGATATGACGGCTGATGTCATGAGTCCGGTGAAAGCCTTCATTCATTTTCTGTACGACTAACCGTGGACCGTTTCTCCCCAGCATCTCCAAGTTTGACGAGCGCAGTGCCTTCCTCTACGTCCTTCACAATGCAGAAGACTTCCAGATCTATTTCTGTACAGAGATGCACTGTAAAAGGTCTGTCTGGCTCCGTGTTTGTTTGACATTACCATTTAACTCATTAGGTGGATGATCCATACAGTTAGTAGACTAATAATCCTGTACACATTGTAAATTCAAACACTATATTCAAATTGCTCATTAAGTTCCCACACATGCAGACTCATCGGGAACAGTTTGGGGTTCACTGTCTTGACATGGACAGAAGCATTTTTACTTCTTAAGACTCAGAATCTGTTGCAAATTCTCCCGCTGCAGTAAGTTGAGCTCTTCTATAGTTGTGCCCATCCCTACAGTATTTCAGGCACTTTAATCAGCCCTGCACTCAGGTGGGAAATTTAGCACCTCCGCAAACGCACCTTCTTTCATTTTGACACCATCGTGTTCTCCGCTAGTTTCTCAGCGAAGCACTGAATGTTCAGACTTGTGCTCTCACATCAGAGGCTCCCGAGCACTTCCAGTTCCATTATCTGGAGTGTGAGAGTCAGTGAGTCATGCCTGCTGTTGTTGTGATGCTGTTTTCCTTTTAATACAGGGGGAAAGGAGTGACAGTGAGATGGGAGGGGTGAGAAGGAAGAAATAGGTGGCAGAAGGAGGCAGTGATCCAGTCGCATTGTGTTTGTGCATATGCATGACTAGGCTGGTTGTGTGTGTGCACAGGAACACCTGCAGGCATGCCATGTGTGACAGCATAACGAGGCAACGTGTTGAAACACAGCTTATGTGTAGTGATTATAGCAAAGGTCATTGTATGTATGTATATGTGTGGGAGGTGTGCATGTAAACACAGTGCAACCCTGTCTGGATAAGATCACCAGCTAAATTACTCCACTTAATCATTATATGCACTAAACAGACCACAGATACCAGCATCCAGCAGTTCTGATGTTGATTTATTCTGGATATAAAATGTACAGGCATATACTGTATAAGCCAAATACCATAGCCAGGGTTGTTTTGCATTTATTCTTTATATGCAATTTGTTCTTACAAAGAAATATTCTACAGACAGGGAGAAAATCATTCTCTTGTTGTGAGTATTCTAGGATTGCATGCATGAATAATGTATAATATTACTTTCTCAAAACTAAATATTTTAGCATTACTATTAAATAAAATCTGACAAATACAAAACAAATTAACATACAGTTTACATTTTTTCAATGCAAGCTGTACAGTTTTACATTTTTTGTGTAGTTTTCCAACTTTTCTAGGCAGTCATTTGTTTCCGTTTGTACAGAAATGATGTCAAACACTTGCCTTGCTAATAGAGCACAATCCACTAACAGATTTTTGTGATACAGGTTTTGTGTAAAACTGCAGTTTATCAACACATTTATGAGAGAAGTCTGGTTTGCAAAATCTCACGCTTTTTATAATACTTTGACAAAAAACTGAAAGCAGATTTTTAAGACATTCCTGCAAGTTGAGAAGAAGGTGAGATCAACTGCAGCAGTTCTACTTGTGGCATTTTAACTTAGTGACATGTCAGTATATGTTTTACAACTTTTGATTATTTCTAAAATATCGGGTCACTTTAATAATTAGGTACCTAGCTAACTAGCTACATCAACAACAACAGAACACAGAATTTGTTCGCAAGGCGGTACAAGTCGTTATAGTAACTGCTGATAAATCCCGCTGTTCCTTACAGAAAACAACGGATCTGAACCTCTGAGTATTAGTAGTAATAGAAACATGTGCAATCACATAGGAGAAAGAAACTGTTTTTAAATATATATGTAAACACACAGTGGTAGAAGAGCTTTCAGATAGCAGCGTACTTTAGGAAATCGTTAAAGGAGAAATGACCTATATTGTTATGATGGTTCTTCTGCAGTTTATTGGCTTTTAGTACATGAAATCATTACATGTAAGCTTTGACTTTTGGAGTGCCAAAACAAAAGAAAATAATAGGTGGAGACGCCACTGAATATTTCTCGGCACTCTAATGAAGCTGTGGTGGACATGCTGTGTGTGTTTTCTATTTGTATTTTGGACTGACCGGGCTTTTCTTTGGCAGATTCTGCGATCTGGTCAACAGCATAACAGAGGAGACTCGGAAAGGTCCTGAGGACGGAGACTGTGACACTGATACCTTAGAGGTGGGAAGAATTGAATTCACTTTCAAGTGGCTCAGTTAGTGTTTTGTTTCTGTTTTTCATTTAGTTATTTTGAGCTTATCCCTGAAAAGTTTTAGTTGCAACCTTAAAACCTGTCCCACAGCAAGGTGATTTTAGTAGACTTATATTTTAAGCTCAAACTCACAGATCCACCACTCTTATGTCCATATGTTTCACTTAATAAAGCCTTTAAGTAAAAATCAGTTAGAAGCCTCATATCAGTTTCTCTTTAGATACAGAAATCATAACATTGCAGCCATGAGGGAACCACCTGGATCTATAAACACCTTCTTTGGTGGATTTTCCTGCAACAAAAGTAAAAAACATTGTTTCTTGATTCTACAGTAATCCAGCTTTTCATTGCAAATAGTTTATCCATTTATTTCTCGACATTGTTGCATCATGTTGTGTTTTTGTGGTGTACTTTTCCTGCTTTTGAAATGTCACAGGAAATATGGTGTGATGTTGTGTTTCCATAAAAAGGACTGAGGTGATGACAGAAGGAAAAAAAAAAATCATCTAACAGACAGCTAGTGTTGTATGAGTTCCTCTGATTATTTTTTATTGAAAGACAAAGAAACCAAATGTGTTTCTTTCACTTTTTATAACAGAAAATCTCTTTTATCAGCTTTTCTAAACCAGTTCATCACAATTTGCACACAGTATTAATACCTGGATCGAAACTCAGCTGCAAACCCCAGAGAAAGAGAAAGTAACCTGCCGGGATAAGGCCTGGATTTTGCTTGTGTGTTTGTGTGTGCTGTGACAGTCCAGAACAGACACCTGCTGCTGCATTCACCACTCTTCTCAGCGGAGCCTTGGGAAATGAAAAGCTAATTACCCAAAATGCTGCTGTACCCTCTTTGACTCAACTCGGCAGAGATCGAGTTTCTAACAGGTTTTGCTCAGAGGGAGATTTACAGCACATCTGTGTTTGATGCAACACAAGACTCATCAGCCTGTATTCACTAAGATTTCTCCAGCCTTGACTGTACCTCAATAACCAGTCCTAAAATAAAACATAAAAATGGGTTTAAAATAATATTACCTCAATAAAAATATGTCTGTTAAGTTAATTATCAACATGCTAATCAAATAAGTTTGTTTGGATGTTTAAAAAGTTGCTGATTTATTGGATTTGTGCAACACAGGTACTAGAAAAACAGGAAGAAGATGCAGTAACTGAATTTTGTAATAAGACAATCTTACAAAGAATAGTGTTACAAAAAAAACAGTACATTTAAAAATGCAGGCTTAAGTTGGCTTACATTGATCAGAGTTTCAGGTTAGAGATCGATCAGGTCTTTACACAGGCTGTTAATAATAGCCTGTTAAAATGACTTGTCCCCACAGTACGACTATGAGTACGATGAACACGGAGAGAGGGTGGTTCTGGGAAAAGGCACGTTTGGAGTGGTGTACGCAGGACGAGATCTCAGCAACCAGGTCCGACTGGCCATCAAAGAGATCCCAGAGAGAGACAGCAGGTGAGAGAAAGACACCGTGTTTTTTGTGTCGCTCAAAAGGTTTCACACAGTTGTTTCCACAGAAGAAGGTTCAACTGTTTTTATTTGCTATTTTTAGCCTCTGTCCTTGCAGGCCTTGTATTTATTATCCTGTGCAAAGATAAAATTACAGTCTGAATGTAAACAGGTGTCAGAGCCTTTAATGCCTCATCTTGTTCTGCACTAGTGTTGAGTATCATTAAGCAAAGTGCTGCCTTCCTCCAGCTGAGAGTGTGAAGCACAGATCAGCTTTGTCCCTTGTGCTTTCTGGCTTTCACCGGGCTTATATCCGCTTAGAGTGACTGGTTAATAGAGCGCTGTGAAGACGAGCTCCCACCCTCCGCCTTCTATTCCCAACGCTGTCACACTTGTCTCCTCAGAGTTCCACCTACTCATCTCAAATCGCAAGACTTTCACAAACTAGATGATTCCAGTGCCACACTTTGTTCCACTAATCACATCAGCAAGTCAGCAGGGCACTTGGCTGCAAAGAATGTGAAGAATTTGGGTAAATAATTCAGAAGTAGATTGACATCTCAAGACTGGCGGAGAGAGAGAGAGAAGGTGTGATTCATACAGGGAGCTGAAAGGGAAAAACATTGCTGGCAGCCATGGTTTCAGTGCACAGAGGTACCTGTTGTTCTGGTCTCAGACCATCAGTTATTATTATAAAGTTACAGTTATTAGGTTTAGGATTTATTATTATTATTGTTGTGAGCTGAAATGATAATTCAGTGAATCTAGGTTCATTCATTTCAGATTGACTGGCAACCTCTTCCTTTTTCTTCATTTTCATTGATAGTGAACTGAATACCTCTGGTTTGTACACTGTTGATTATATAAAATGAGTCATTTGAAGACATCATCATGGGCTCTGGGAACTGGTCATGGCCACTTTTCACCTTTTTTAACACTGCTTGTTAGATTATATTATCGAAAACATTGATTTATTGCAGCCCTGATCTAGTTTTAGCTAAGATTTATTGTTTATACAGTGTAGTTTAATGTGATTAAGTTGTGAAGTAACATTCAGTTTCAGTTCTTTCTATGCAAGTGGAGTATTTTTAAAAGGAGACGCACACAACTTGAATCAAGTGTAAGACGCTGAAAATAGCTGCAAATCAGCTGAAGTGTTTTTATGCTTTGTGTATGTGTGTGTGTGTTTTTTTAAAATGCAGGTACTCTCAGCCGCTTCACGAGGAGATCGCCCTCCACAAGCACTTAAAGCACAAGAACATCGTCCAGTATCTCGGCTCCATCAGTGAGAACGGCTTCATCAAGATCTTCATGGAGCAGGTGCCTGGAGGTGAGACTCACCTGTTGATGCTCTTTTAAAAAGAAAAAAAAAAATCAAGAAAGTATAAGAGGTCGGTGCAAGCAAGAAGTAAGTGTCAGACAGTGCAAAATAACTGAAAATGAACATATTTTAAGCACAGAAAGTTCACCATCATTAGTACATCATTTGTCAGCAGTAGGGAGATACCTGAATACCTGTGCATACTGTGATGGGCGTTCTGATTTTTGAGCCTAGCCAGTCCTATGCTGCTAATCTCAGGTCAAAGTGAGCGTATCCGTCACTGTTGTGCTTTGTCCCGTTGTGTGCAGGGAGTCTGTCTGCGCTGCTGAGGTCCAAGTGGGGCCCGCTCAAAAACAACGAGCCTACCATTGGCTTCTACACACGGCAAATCCTGGAGGGGCTCAAATACCTGCATGAAAACCAGATAGCACACAGAGACATCAAGGTGACTCAATAGAACTGGTTGCAATTAGTATTCTGCTCCAGGTTTCCATTCTTCTTAGGACCATCACATTTTCAAAAAGATATTATGTGGAGAATTCAGGGAAAAGATAACTAAACTTAAAGTATCTTATGATTTAATATCATTGGTTTCTAGTCTGACAGTGGTAATCCAGCATCATGAACGTGCTTACACTGAATGTCACAGCCACTCTTGTGTTGGTTAGAGTTTTACTTAGAAAGAAAACGCTGCTGCATCAAAGAGGATGCATTTAACATTTGCATTTAGTTGTAATAAGTAAGCATGGACAGTGAGGAGCTGTAGTGGTGGAAGAGATGAGGTACACAGTGCCCCACTTACAGAAAATCAAACTTTATCGATGTCACTTCTGCACCGTGTGATTGACAAGCGATCTCTGGGAGTTTCACTGTAAAAATATTATGACAAGTTGTGAAAAAAAAACTAAAGGAAAATGGAAGAAGGACAGATTGCACTGCCACTGTGAAGAATCATATTTATAGCACATTTCATTGAATGTAAACTCTAAGGGTCATTTTTCATGTCTGTCTTAAAACATGACTCATACGTATATGATATTGCTGCTATGCACAATTAAACTGGTTTTGCTTGGTGTAACCAGTCTCCCTGTCCACACTGGTCATTAAATGATGCCCCACTAGTGTGCTCCGTTTGGGTATCTTCCAAAGCTACGGTATTTTTATTACAGAATTCCCTCTTGGTGTTTCTCCGGGCAGTTTTTCTGGAGGTTGATTGCCGACTCTAAATTGCCCCTAGGAGTGAGTGTGTTTGTTTTATACGTGTCAGCCCTGTGATAGATTGGCGACCTGTCCAGGGTCATCTGGGAGTATAGATAATGGACGGATCGAAGCTGCTTCAGTGCACACATGGACACCTGACTATTGTTTTAAGACAGACTTGTGAACCTATCCTTTGATTTAAAACCTTATATTCAACACAAAATGTGAAGAATAAATAAAACATAGGAAAACAACATGGCAATTCAAAGTGTGTACAGAAAAAGAGAAATGTATATAAGAAAAGCACACCCACACAAAGATATTAATAAGCACACCAGACACAAAACACACAGAAGCACACAGAGTAAGAAATGCATTATGGAAACAAGAGAAGGTTTCAGAATAAATGTCAGTTTTAAAGGTTTGAGCTGAATTCTGAAGCCCGGTTTCATTCCATCCACTGTTGGTTTGCTCCCTGCGACTCTCGCTCCACTGTAAATCTGGATCGGTGTGAATGCATTCCAAGAGCAGCTGCTCACAGCTTTGGAGTATTTTCTTTATACGGTTCAGTAGCTCCTTGGCTGCAACACTCATCCTGACTTTTCTTTTTCTGAAGTAAGGTTCCCTCTCTGTTTTATGACAAACCAACACTGACAACACTTCCATAACAGACAGGCATTATGGTCAACAGCCTCTTCCCCGTGCGTCCCCCTGATTTAACTACATGGTCATATAAACAACATTAGCCGCACACAAATGTTAATCACCTTGTTTTGGTTGGAAGGCCATCCTGGGAGGTGAAGGACAGTTTGAACACTTTCAAGGATTTGAAGGTGCTCAGTGTCTCATTGCCATCGTGTCCCTGTAACTTCAACTGCAGAATGGATGTGTGTGTGTTCTCATGGTTTGTCTTTTCAACCTGCAGGGTGATAATGTTCTCATCAACACCTACAGTGGCGTCCTGAAGATATCAGATTTTGGCACATCTAAGAGGCTGGCTGGGATCAACCCCTGCACTGAGACTTTCACAGGTACTCTGAGTGACTTGCTTCTCGCCTTGCATAAAAATCAAATATGACTTGTGGGCCAAATTCCCCTTAAATAGATGTTTTCATGAAAGAACCAGAGACTTAACTTTGCAACCCCACACAGATAATAAGTGTCTGTGGCTATCACCATTTCAGAGCAGTAAATCCAGCCCCAGTCTCTCTTGGCTTGTACTGTATGTGATATCACTGAGAATAGCTGACTGCTGCTATTCAGAGACCTTGGGTTTGGCATGAGCCTGCAGTCAGATGAGACCGGTTTCGGCCTGTGTGATGTCTGCACCACAGCAGCCAATTGCGGCCTGGTTTGACCTCCTGGATTAGATCATCTGACAGCTGATTGGAGCAGACTAGGACTTGCCCTGAATTGTGGAGCTTTATCAGGAAACTGGGCTACTCCCTTTTATAGCCCAGGCTTGCTATAAATTCCACCCAGCCTGTTTTTAGCTCAGTACATGAGCTTCTACTGTAAAAGCAACAAATGCGTAGCCCGTAGGCTATTAATAGAACACAAGAGTCCTCCTGTTAGTCTGGGCTGAGCTGTGATTAACTGACAATACAGTGAGGCATTTTGCTGTAAGCCCTGGTAAAGCTTTTGTAACCTGATCGGTCATTTGAATCATTTCAGAACAGAATGCGAGCTATTTTTGGCATTTAAATCAGGTTCCTTCAGATGCTGTCACTTTTACCTAATGCAGACTGTGAGGCACTCAGTACACCTCATTATCACTAAAGATTCAAAATTGTACCACCTTGCAATAATTATATTTGAAATTATGTGTAATTAATAATGATACAACCCACAGTTGTGATTCAATTTAAGGCTAATTGTGTGAGCAAGTTTATAAAAGAGGTTGTGAACACCACAGGTTTCTCTTGTTTCAACCTGGGCTGTGTCTAAAGCAACAGGGCTCCATGTGGTGAGGAATTATCAGAACAAATCAGAAACCAGACTGTGAGACTTCATGAAGATGGGGGAGGCTAAAGCGTATCAATAGGCCACTGAACACAGCTGCAACAGTGACTAAGAGATACAGGAAGAGACGCGCTACCATTAAGAGGAGGTGCAGCGGGCGTCCTCCAAAAATGACTCACAGTTCACTGTTAATTCAGTCCTGCCTGTTTGGTGTGGACCCGGCCAGGACCACCACACTGACTGTGAAACACGGAGGCAGGACGTCAAAAGGTGGAGCAGAGGTGGCATTTATAGATGGAACTATGAATGCATATTTGTATAGCCAAATATTGAATGAAAAAAATGACTCCCAGTCTCAAGACGATGTTAGGAGAGGAGTTTTCTCGCATGGCAGTGATCCCACACACACACACACACACACTGCAGAAATCACACAAGGGTTTTTAAAGAAGAACAAAGTGAAAACTGTGACTGACCAGGTGTGTCCCATGTTTTAATCCAAAATGTTATCCTGTTCCTTTAAAGATGGCCTTTGATGAATCTAAAACTATTATCTATAAATTAATGAAATGTATTTAGCAACAAAACCCCTGTTAAACATACACCTCCTGACTCACTAAGTTAGTGAAAAATATTTATAATTTTCCAAATATCTGGCTGTTAATGTTTTTATCATATCTCATGCTTGTTTTCAGGAACACTCCAGTACATGGCTCCTGAAATTATAGACAAGGGTCCTCGGGGATATGGTAAACCAGCAGACATCTGGTCGCTGGGCTGCACAATAATAGAGATGGCAACTGGGAAACCGCCTTTCTATGAACTGGGGGAACCACAAGCAGCTATGTTCAAGGTGAGACACACAATTGATAACATATCCCATCGTCTGACTGGGTTACGTGTTACCTTTAGCAACCAGGTTGAGGACGGCAGGAGAACAGCTGTTTCTATGGTGACACCTTCTCAAACAGCTGTTGCTCTGCCATTTCAACAGAACTGAGGGTGCAGCTTTTATGTTTGAGAGCTCCTCTGATATACTGCGCATGGTATTTTATAAAGTATGTTATGTTTTAAAGATGATGTTAACCTTTTAGCTAGGACCTTACCATTGTCCTTATTTGTGTGGTTACTCCAAAAGCCAGATCACCTTGCATGTCTTGATTTGTAAACCACCAACAGAAATGAACTGCACCGAAACTGAATTAAGCCCTGACCTATTCAGGCACAAGATGATGACAGACTAAATGCTTCTGTCAGACTTCTGAGGAGCATCATTCTCTTTAAAGTCAGCAAACGGGACTAAATGAGCTGCGGACATGTGGTAATAACCACGGCCTCTGGGTCATGCAACAGCCGCACCTGTAATACATGTTAATGCGAAGTCAACATATGAACACACTGTTGTTTACAGCAGTGATATAAGAACTGGGAAGTCATGCAAGAAAATATGTTTTATTTAAACTTAAGAATTTTTAAAATCATGCTAAAAGGGGAAAACACATGAAATCACTGTACCTTGCAACTGAAAAGCGCTTATTATTTTTTATTAAGTGTAATATAATCACTTTTTTTTTTCCCTCTTGTCAATTTTTTGTTGTTCTTTTTTTCTTTCCAAATGTTTCACGAGTTTTTGAATATTTTATTGTCCTATTCTCATAGTGATCTGATTCAGTTACATAACCGTTCATTAGAAAACAAAAAGCAGAACTGAAAGAATATACCATCTAATTACAGAATCAACCTGGTTTCCCAGGCACTAACTTGGCTCACTTGTTATTGCGTGGCTTAATAATTATACGTACATTTTAGGTGCTCATGTACAGGTGTGAGGAACAGTTTGTTCTGGTTAAGTGAGTGTCTGATCAAACAGTGTTTTTAAGTGATCTAAAGGCGTGAGGCAATTAAGACGAGAGATTACTGGTCACTTGGCAAACATGCACATGACGTGAGCAATGCTAACTCCACTACAGGCTGTTTCAGCTCTCTTTTATAGTGTGATTTGTTCACAGCCAGTTCTGCTTTAGCCCTCTATGCTGGTACCAGATGTGATTATTAGACGTTCAATAAGACAAAGGGCTTTCAACCATCAAACTGCCCCATGACATGATGTATTAAAAAGTATGGAATCTATTAGCAGATGTAATGTGTTGCGAAAGGGTTTTTCTACCAACAGTCCACTGCCTACAGGTCATCTGTTGCTTTATGCTCACTTTACGAAAACTTAATATTCCTCAGATAACTCCATTAGAAAGATGCCATTAAATAGAATAACCAGCAAGTGTGGCCTCTGCACACATCAGTTCCCCTTTGTGTGTAAACAAAACTAGTGAGACAGTCATTACGCACCAGTATTATGTTACCATCTGTGTGTTGTAACGTGATCGAGCCCAATAGAAACTCCAGAAACTGTCTGTGCACGAACATTTGTTTGAACACAAACAACCATGTCGCTCATTGAGAGAAACCCTCAAAGGGCCCTCATGTTTGTTTTCCCAGTTTCTGTGTGTACACGTCTTTGTTTGAAATTGTTGCTCACTCAGTTTACACTGGTTATTTGCTTTGGTTGGAAATGTAAAGTGGCCCACACAAATGGAATATAGTTTTTAACCGTGTAGCTGGTAAAGATGTGCAAGGGCTGTCTGGAAAGCAGTATAGCACTGTGAATTCAGAGAAGCAGGTGTGTGTTACTGGGCTGAATATTTAGGAACTGGGGCAAATTCCACAGAATTCATGGAAGTGCTAATACAATCCGATCATTTTCATCTCTTAAAGGATCTCGAGTTGTTCCTGCACTGTATGGCGTGTAGTTTTCCTAAATGGTAAAACAGACTCCATATACTATTCTCTCATCTTTGTGGAATGTTTCAAGGGAAGAGCATCTCCCTGCTAATCTTGAGTCAACATTCCTCAACAGTAACGACAGGAATTTCTAGCATTCTTATTGTCATGAGTGTCTCGTACTCAGCTGCTGGTCCGAGCTGCTGCTGGGCCTAAAGTCTCACTAGGTAAACACTCACTTTACACTTGAGTTGTCTCCAAGCAGTTAATGAAATAAGAGCAGAATATCTCAGAGATTTCAGAGACGCCATGTGCTCTAGGCTTGTCTGCTTCAGTCTGACCTCAGTGTGTGTCCTTTCCTTGCAGGTGGGCATGTTTAAGATCCATCCAGAGATCCCTGACTCCATGTCGCCAGAGGCCAAGGCCTTTATCTTGCGCTGTTTTGAGCCCAACCCTGACGATCGAGCCACTGCCCTTGACCTGCTCACCGATGAATTCCTCACAGTCACCAGTCGCAAGAAAAAGAGCAAGAGCAGCCTCACAGGTCAGTGGAACGGTTTAGCAGATTCAGCTTAACGACAGATACAAATCCATTGACATTTTTTTTCTTTAAGCTTTATATGGGTCCTCATGAGCTTCCACAAATTGCAATTTAAAATCGCACAGAACAAAAAAGCTCAACATAAACATCAGAAAATATCTGGTAGGACCTGTGCTAAACTGCACCTGATGTTTTTTAAAGGAATAGGCTGACACTTTTTTTGCTTTTCTACTGAGCATAAGCACAAAGACTGGAAACACATACTATAGCCAGGCCCTGTCCAAAAGTAAGAAAGTGCACTTACCAGTGCAGTTAAAGCTCAGTAGTTAACATGCCAAATCTTGTTTACTTAATCTGTACAAAAACGGAATTTTAAAAACAGAAAGTAGCTGTCCACTAGTGAAGAGTATAAAATCTCTCAAATTAGTTAAAATGGTTTGGCAAATTAAAGGAGAAATACTAAACATTATGGAATGAAACAAAAGCTAACAAAAGAGGAAGATGAACTGATCTTTTACACTCCTGGTTGGTAGAAGCTTCCATTTCTGTTAAAAAGCACAACACCTGACCTCTTAAACAAATACACATAATCAGCCAGGCACAATGAAACAGGGTTTGAGTTTCACAGCTGACAGTTTTACTTAAGGGTCCTTCTGTTTTTTGGCTGTGTTGTGTGTCCTTAGATTTGGCTGCTAATAATTGTCATCTGCTAAACCTGCTCCGTAAGTGCAACCTGAACACACCCTTAATCTTCATTGTCTGGGTCTCAAAGGTCTGTGCTGGGTTTCCAGCCCATAGCAGTGGTGCTATCGTGTGTCCTGGCCCCAGCACAAAAGATTAGAAAGAAACTTAAAGGCTTGCACCTTACTGCATAATAGGAAACATTATCCTGCCAGTTTTACGTAGAAATCTTCCTCTGTTACGTTCTCAGTGAACCGCTGACTGATATTTTATGTTTTTCTCATGTAGCTCTGACGCCGGGAACAGGTGAGTTACTTTACTCTTTACACCTGTTCTTCTTTCTGACTTATTTACCACTATTTTACAAGCTGTCAGTTCCATGAAACATCTGCTTGCTTCGCTGGAGAGTATCTAGGCTACAGTTTTCATTTTTCTCTTGCCAGTGGATACCTGCCTTGCATGACTCTGCCCTTTCCCAGAACTCAAATAGACATTGCACAACATGTCTTTCTTCCAAACGCTTTGCATGTTTTCATAATCCCTGTTTCAAAATGTATATACAGTGAGTGCAAATTGCTGCCAGATACATGACATAGAGCTCTTCTCCCTAAACAAGATGAAAGCGTAGCTTCAATTTGGGGCATTAGAATCGGATTTATGGTTTTTGTGTCTTTACTGAAAAGAAAGCCAGTTTTCCATCATCCTCTTGCAAAGCTTTATCTCTTTTTGTCATGGAAGAATAGCTTCTTCTTTTTGTTTTTGTACAGAAAACAGCCTCTCTCTGCATTACAGAGCAATGTGTCAGGCTATCGGTGCATAAATGATGCATCAAGCACCCATGAGGTTTTATTTTTAATTACATTGATTCTGTCCTTCAGAGTATCTCCGTAGTATCTCCCTGCCGGTGCCGGTGGTGGTGGAGGACACCAGCAGCAGCAGTGAGTACGGCTCCGTCTCCCCTGACAACGACCTCAACACCAACCCCTTCATCTTCAAACCCAGCATCAAGTGCTACAGCGAGAAGGACGTAAAGGCGCCCAGGTCCCTCTTCCTCAGGTAGAACAAGTGGGACATCGACTGGGTTTTCACCTGAGTTAAATGGGGTCAGAGCTGCGTTATATTCTCATATTGACATGATTTTATTGGTTATCTTATCACTGTAGGTTTGTTAAGTAATATGCTGACTGGCTGTATGAAAACCTTACCTGAACTGAATCTAATGCAAAAAGTGCTTTTCAGCTTGTGATCTCTTAAATCAAAGCAATATCTGGTTGTTCCCCCTGATTTTTTTTTTTTTTTTGTGACCACCAATGAGTTTTTCTTTCCTTATTTGCTTTAAGTTTCCCTAAAGAAGTAACTCCAACCATTTAAAAGAAAAAAACAGAGGAAAGTCTGAACAAATTCATTATAGCTTTGTTTTCACTGTTTCCATCGCCTGTTGATCAGCTCAGATCCTAAAACCCTTTTCAGCGGGTGTCTCCCTCCATCTTATGAACCACTGATGTAGATGTTTCTTGAGATTAGCTGTCACTGATCAGTACCGGTTGACCCCTGATGGGTAGCATTAGAGGAGAAGAAGATGATAATCCTGTAAAAAAAAATTGTACTTTATGGCAAAATTTAGACAAGTATATGCACACCTTATTGTTTTTTAGAGTTGGTATGAACATGTAATGAATGAATAGAACAAACTGTACATAGCACATAACACAAACAAGGTGTTGCACATGAAACTGAGGTCTAGTACAAAATGTTCCTTCTCTGCTCAGCATTCCTGTGGAGAACTTTGAGGACCACAGTGCCCCCCCATCTCCCGATGAGAAGGACTCAGGCTTCTTTATGCTTCGGAAAGACAGCGAGAGGCGAGCCACCCTGCACCAAATCTTGACAGAGGACCGGGATAAGGTGGTGGCCAATCTGATGGAGGCCCTCGCACAGGTTGGTGATGGAAGAAACCATCAGGAGGAAAGAAATGGATAGTGTCAGACAACAGATCAACGACATGCGCTTGTGAAAATCTTATCATCTATTTTCATCTCCTCATCTTCCTTTCACATCCAGGGCTCTGAGGAAATGAAGATGAAGCCTCAGCACATCTCCACCCTCGTGGTCAGTCTGGCCGACTTCGTTCGCATGGCAGACAGGAAGATCATCGCCAACACGCTGTCTCAACTCAAGCTGGAGCTGGACTTTGACAGCACCGCCATCAGTCAGCTGCAGGTTGTGCTGTTTGGCTTCCAGGATGCTGTAAGTATGAAACAGCAGAGGAGCAAACAGGACGTTAATGCAGTAAACCACAGCTGCATTTCGTCTTCCATCATCCACCTGTGTTTATGAATTATTGGTCACAATATTAGCAGCATATCAACCCAAACCCAAAATATTCCGCATCTCTCAGATGAAACAGTCATCAGCCTTCCAAAGAGTTACTTTGAGCCTCTATTTGTTGCTGACATTCTAATCTCTCCTGCACTGTACTCAGATGTGCTTCTGCTGTTGCCTCTGCAGAAACCATGGGCTCTGAACACTTCAGAATAATTGTTGTGATTTTACATGAGCTGCAGACAGCAGCACACCGCCACGATGATGCTCTTCCTGCACAGAGATCAGACACATACTGTGAAATACCTGTAACCTTTAAGCAAGGTGATAAAAGGAGGCTCAGTCCAGAGTGACTGCACACTCTCTAAAATGTAGTTATACAGATGAAATGACATTAGAGCAAGTGGTTGTTTTCATATTTTCAGGGGGTATTGCATAATCCTGCAAGACGCTGAGGCTCTGATGCCTCCTGTTGGTCATCAGTGCAAACAATTTAGAGCAGAGGAGGGAGAGTCATGTTTAGGGTTTTAGTGCGTGATTTCACAAGTATAATAATTGAGATTGAACTATCTTAAATGTTAGCAAACAGAGATTTTGTATCAGAAGATGCTGAGGTAAAGAATGAACACCCAAATATACTGGGAAACAAGGGAGTAGAAGAAGAAGCTTTATTTTATTGTGACACGTACAATGAAATTTTGTTTGGAGCCGAGGGCCCCGGGCCTCTGTGTGCATACACGCTGCTATCATGGACAACTTGGGGGTTCCGTGTCTTGCCCAAGGACACTTCGACATGTGGACTGCAGGAACCAAGATTCGAACCTTAAACCTTCCGGTTGGGAGACAACTGCTCTACCCACCGCACCACGGTCGCCAGAGTAGCCACTATATTCAGTCGAAGTTGGAGAATAAAGACTGTAAATCAAACTGAATAAACAGTTTTTCAAAGATATGAACTTTTAATATAAAAATGCACCATTAATTTTAAATGATGAAAATACAGTAACTGTGAAACTCTTCATATTGCCAGGTGAACAAAGTCCTGCGAAACCACAACATTAAGCCTCACTGGATGTTTGCTCTGGACAACATCAGCCGTAAAGCTGTGCAGACCGCCATCACGATCCTGGTGCCAGGTAACATCTCGAGCAGTGCACCTCTGAATAAGTCCTCATCAGACCCTCAGGACAACACTGTCTGCAGCTTCCTGTTAAAGGCCTGTTCACTGAGAGTCAATGTAAATACCAAAATTCTGTGTGTACAATACACTAGTGCTTCTTTCTTCATTTTAAGCAAATTCTAGCATTAGGTCAAAAGTGATTGCGGTTGGGCGCAGAAACTTGTAAACATATGTGACGAATACAATCATTTGCTGATAGGACAGAGAATGAGTATATTTAGCCAAAGTTATGTCATTGAGACAACAAACTACTATTTTTTTCTTTTGTAATGCAACTTATTCATGATTTTAATTGTACCATTTTGTCTGAGGTTCTTCCAACATGTGTTTAGTGAAGGCCTGCACGAATATCATTTTATTCTTGATTGAAAGCTGATTTATTTGAACTGTTGCTTTTTGCACTAATATATACAGTTTTCACAGCAAAGAAATGCAAGTATTCAGTGTTCATACCCGAGTTTTATGCTACTCAGGATGGAAACAACATTTTACATCATGATTCACAGCTGCTCATTGATACCCATGTAATTAGAAACTGGTGCTGGAATTAGCTCCTATTTTTCTCAGTTTATTCAGATTAATGTGTTTTCCAAGTCTTAAAACTTGTCAGAAAGTAGTACCCAGAAAGCACCGAGAGCCCAGAGAGACATGCTTTAATTGTTTGTTTTGTCCGACCACCAGTCCAAAACCAGAAGATATTCAGCTTACCGTAAACATTTGCGGTATAAGGGAGCAAGGAAAAACAGTGGCTCCTCACATTTAGAAGCTGGAACCAGTAAATGTTTGTCACTTTAACATGATAAACAACCTACAAACCATCAAATCATTAAAGTGATGTCGTATGTCCGTGCTCAGAGCTGAGGCCTCACTTCAGTTTGGCCTCAGAAAGCGACCCAGCCGACCAAGAGGACGTTGACGACGATGACGCTGAGCCGGAGGGAAGCTCCACGCATAAGAGCCGGGCTCCTCCTGTCGCTGCTCACGACGACACAGTGGCCACATCGGGAGTCAGCACGCTCAGCTCCACTGTCTCACACGAGTCCCATAATGCTCAGCACTCAGTGAGTGTGGAGCTGAGCAGGATGAAGCTGGAGACCAACAGGTACATTTAAGGGACAACTTGCTCTGCCTCCTGAGCCACAGCCACCCATGATCTGATTTAGTCAGCTTTTAACTGTCTCATTAGTTGTGTTATTTATCACACATAAGTTTCTGATAATGATCTTTGCACTAAATGCTCCGTTTGTGTTTTCTCCGATCTGTTTGGCTTCAGGCTGCTGGAACAGCTGCTGGAGAAGGAGAGAGAGTACCAGGCTATTCTGCAGCAGGTGCTGGAGGAGAGAGAGCAAGAGATCAGACTACTGAGGTTGCGATCTGAGCCCGCAGGTCTGCACTGTAGCGTCTACTCTGACTGTATTACTAACACTCCTTCTGCTGCTACTACCAGCACCATTCTGCCTTTACATTTTATAGCCAGCTGTAACTGAGCAGACTCCACTTTGCATTCACAGCTGAGCCCTAATAAATAAACCAAAATGCCCATCATATATCATAGAGCACAGGGGGAAGAATGCATAGAATTATCCAAGATTCCCTGAGGTTGCATCGCTGAGGTTTTTTTAAATACAACTTTGCTCAAATTTTGTTTGCAAAGCCTCATGATAAACACATACAGTATATAGTGCACAGTATTCTACCTAACAATAATTTGTAAACAGTAAACTTAGTGAAATCCACAATGTAAACAGAATATATTGCACTTGAATTATTTAAAAAAAGGGTCAGACAGATGTACAGGCTGTTATGCCTGATTGGTGTAAATTAAATCACTAGTTCTATGAAGGAATAAAGACACACATAGTGTTTTATTTATGTAACCTCAGCTGCTATCCTCATTTACTTCCGGTCGGGGACATCGCTGCTGTATGGTAGCTGCTTTGGCCCCTGTGATAATGCAGCACACAATGTTTAGTTAATTAGCCCAGTGGCATTGTCTCCTTTGGCAGACACCCCCACGTCATCCCCGGAGAGACGCATGAGTGAGCCTACAGAGAGAGGTGGAGACTCAGAGCTGAGCAGCTGGCTGAGGCTTTACGGTGCAGACCAGGACTCCATAGACAAAGTGAGTCCGCGCTCTTATCATCTGGAGCTGGACCTCACATCAGTTTCTACAGTGCATGTTCACGGTTCTGAGCTTGTGTTTGTCATCCTGTGTGTGTTTGGGTCTGTTTGAAAAGTGTTTGACTAACATGACTTATTGTTTTTCCATTTCTTTTTTTTTTTTTATCAATTCATGTATCAATAATAAGAAGCTGTCTGCACAAATAGCAACATGTACAGCTCCATATTTTTCTGAATCTAATATCTGAGGCTGACATACTAAATCATGTTGCCTCACTTATCATTTGCCATTTTTATGCTTGTATTACAAAGTACCTCATACAACTAAAATGACACAAGAATTAAGTTTTTCAAATGCATCCTGAAACGGTCTAGTTCATTTAGAGAAGGAATGTGTGCATGTAATATTTATGTAGTCAAACCCAAAAACAGCTCAGTCATGTCAAAGTACAGATGCAGCCTCACATTTTCTCTTTCATCCAGATTCTGAATGAGGAGTACACGTTGAACGACATCCTCCATGATGTAACTAGAGACGATCTGAAGAGTTTAAGACTGAGGTAGTACATCGGTTTTTTTATGACTTTGGTAACAGTTTAAGTTCTGCATTTAGTGTTTAGTCACAAATATTCACGCTGACATTTACATCTGTAGTAAACGAGCAGAAACACAGAGGTGAAGCTGTGACAGCTGTCTGTTGCATAATGGTAGACTCATGTATTTTCCTGTTCTTAAGCACTGGTACTACTGTTTGCCACAGCAGTGAGGAATCATCTCATAATAGGCAAAGTGTCAGTTTGATTAAAACATTAACTCATCATTTTTGTTAATGATTCCATCCCTCCATCTACTGCTGTTTGTCTGGTTCCAGGTTGCCTCAATGAAATTATTATTTATGTATTTGATATTGTTATATACTGTTCATAAGTACGAATGATTAATCATTCTCGGTGATATCTTCCCTACATTTCCATCTTATTTTATTCTTTTGCTGGCAAACTGCAAAATTAAATTGCATTCTCTGTAGTTTTAAAAAGATCTAACAATGTCCTATATATCTAACTTGGTGAATCCTGCAGAAACCCTGTTCTGCGTATTTTGTAAAAACTTTGTCATCCAGCACTAATTGACAGATAATGATGTTGTGCACATGTAGATGAGGATATGCTTTCTGTAACCTGGGACAAGAGAAACAAAATAAAATGCATTAGAAAATGTGATGATGGACAGCTGTGGACAGCAAAACATTTTTAGTTTTGAAATGCTGAGTCATAAAGTGTCATTTCTGCAACTGTTGTACTTTGCATATTGTACCCTAACTGTCCTCCTCTGTTTCTGTCCTGTCAGAGGGGGGATCTTATGTAAACTGTGGAAGGCCATCACAGACTACAGGCAGAAGCCGACCTGAGGCCTTACGTCTTGACAACTGCTCTGAAAAGTCAGGACCTTTGTCCCAACAACTCAGTATTCTCCTCTTTACCTCAGTATTTATAAGAGCAAGACATTTAAGAGAAGAACCTGTGTGTGTTGACCCGATGACGGAGTATTTTGATCATTTTTACACAGGGATTTTAGACATAGAGTCAGTTTGGAACCAACAGTGACAAAGAAGTGGCACTAGTTTTGTTGTGCCTGATGGACACGGCACGCTTTTTGTTACAGGTGCAGTGGAAATGGCAGTTGGTGGGAAAATCTACTGTTCAAATCCTGAGAACTGTCAGAACATTTTCTCCCGTCTTTACAAGATTTAACGTTTACAAAACTGGGGACCAACCATTCTCTAATACAAGCCTGAGATACAAAATACTACATTTGAAGTCATATGTACTAATGTTTTTATCATAGGCATCTGATCACTACTTTTATTTAAGTGTGTTTTTAATCTAATTATAATAATCTGAAGGATGTCAGCGCATGCCCTGATTTTTTTTTTTTAATCTGTACTGAGATTATTTAAATTGTCATTGCTTTTCTCACATTTCCTTTAATAATATAAATTTTTATTTTTCAGAAACATGTAAATATTATGGTATATAATTATATGTGACTTACAGTTATGTACTTTAAAATACATTGTTAAACATAGTTAAATCTCTTGTGGATTGGACACTGAATGGTATGAAAATTGAATGGTATATTATTGTGTCACAAATCATAGGAGATGACATTTAGTTAGAAATTAACATTACATCAGACCATTTGTTCAGTTTTTACAGTTGTACACGGACAAAAATGTGTTTAGCTTGCTTCTGCATATACAGTATGATCATTCAGTCACGTTGCAATGAAAATCAGAAATGCAGACAAGTTTTGTATGGAAGAGCTTTGACATTTTTTATTTTAAACCAAGATGTTAGAAATGGGGAAAATAATCATGAGCAGTCTGTCTGTTTTGTTTCACATCTAAAATCATTCATATTTTTGTGTCATATTGGTAAATAAAATGTTTCATCTTGAAACTGGGAAAATATGTAAGATGTTTTGTTGCAGATCAGTCTGACTAAATATGCTAGTTAAAGTGGAATTTTAAGAAGAACTGAAAGACAAGAAAATAAAATGGTTTCAAAGGTTTACCCTGTAAGTAAAAGATTTCCTGCTTAAATCCACAAATGATCACAGTGTTATTTTTTCCTTTTCATGAGTGAAAAGAGACATTTAAACCTTTAAACCTTAACATTGTATACATTCTACTTTGCTCTGGCAAAGTATTCTAGTATTCTAGTGAATGCCTCTAGTGAGGCAAAGGGGGAAAAGTAATCAGAAACTGAAAACGTATGTTAATTTAATAAAAACCGGGCCATTTTCAGGATTCGGGTAACAGGTTTACTTCCTTCTTTTCTGCAGTAGTGGAAGTAAATGAGGCCTTTATAATTAATGCTAACAATTCCTACCAGTGTCTCAACTTTTGTGATTACCTACTACAACAAATTCTAGTTGCAGTGTTGGAAAAGGCTGTGCTACTGCACCCTTAACAGAAAGTGGGCATCTTATCCCAAAGGGCAACTTCCACCATCTTTTTCGACATTTCTTGAGATGCAGTTTTATTTTGTAAGCTACGGGTGTTCCGCTTTCTGTTTGCCATATATGGTTGTCACAGTGACGTCGGTGGTTTCTGCTGGTCTCGCGGCCGTCTCCCCTTCACCATGACAACCACAGATTTTCAGCATCGTCAGAGGAGCAGCTGTTGTGATGCTGTAGTGATTCAAGCAGTCGTGCTTTAGTATTACTAGTCGTTAGTTTCACGGAGATATACTTCATGTAAGAAGGTCATCTTTGCCGTGAAGGACCCTCATGTGTCGGAGACCAACTGGAGGCAGAGGGAAGCGCCGTTGAACTCCGTGAACAATATGGCTCTGCTTCAGCATCCCCGGCTGCTCCTCGCTTGTATCGTGCTGCTCTCTGCACTGCAAGGTTTCCACACTCGGTCTTCGCCGATATCGGACTTAAAATCCAGAATATCCGGGGTGGAGGAGTTGTTAGAGGAATTCCGTAAGCAGCTCCAGCAGGACCAGGCGTACAGGGCGGGCGATGTGTTTGACTCCTGTGTGGGCGAGTTCAGCGCTGTTGGGCAGCGCATCATCCGGGCCAAGGCCTCCATCGAGCAGGGGGCCACCTTCCTGCTGGCGCCGGACAGAGTGTACACCTGGAAGGACTGCCTGCACGCCTGCTGCTCCCAGCCTCACTGCACCGTGTCGGTGGTCCAGGAAGACCTGAGTCAGCCCGGAGACAGTCTCAGCTGCTACCTGTTCAACTGCACCTACAGAAATAGAAATGTCTGCTCCTTCGCTCCGCAGCAAGGCTTCACCACATACAGCCGGACTCCGAACGCAACGCAGGGACATCCGCCCTTTTCCAGCGGCTCAGGCAGGAGCCGCGGGGAAGGGCTGCCCGATGAGGGTGATACACAAGGTGGGAGGCCTGCTGATAGAAATCTCAGCCTGACATTTGTCCGACATTTGGAAAGGTTTCCTAGTTCAGCTTTAGGGACCTTGGTTTTCCTGGTTTTTAGCATTTATTGGTATGCAGGGACAGTTTGTGAGACAGTTGGCTCCTGGGCACTGACATATAAAAAGGCCTTAGTAACTATTTAAGGTCTAAATAAGTAAAATAATAATAGTAATATAGTAATAGCAATAGTAGTAATAATAAAAGTATCTCTATTCTTAATCTTACTAAAGAACAGCCTTTATGGTTTTAACCCACAGTGGAATAAAACAAGAATTAATGTGCAACGTAACAAGTTACTTTAAAAAAAAGCTTGTACAGCACATTGTCCATATAACCAAGTTTTTGTGTGTGCAGATGTGGATGAGCCTCCTCGCAGCGATGCTGGACAGGATGTGGTGATCCAGCTGCCCACGGACTGGGCTGTCCTGGATGGACGGGACAGTCTGGACGACCATGGGATCAGCCGCTATGAATGGACTCTTGTCAAGGGGGACACAGCCATCAATATGAAGGTGGGTGTTAATTATATACTGTAGTCTGTTAATTACTGCTTAGGCGCTTCATGTGAGAGTGACGGCCTGAAAACAACCACTGGAGGAAACGCAGAGTGAAAACACACAGGAGAAGCTCTGTTCTCTCCTTTTGGGATCAGATTATTCTAACATTTGCACTAATTATTCATTCATTTTCTACCGTTTAGTCCCTGAACGGGGTCACGGGGTTGCACTCATTAATAGTCGCTAATTGTCTTCACAGTCAGCAGAGTCAAATTGTGTTTTTGCGTTTGCTTTGGTTAAGTCAACAAGGTGGCTTGTGTCCTGAGCTCCATAATACCTCACTGTGTCAACAGAGATAAGAGTTTAGTATGCTCCAAACTGCCCAAGGACAGCAGCAATGTTCAGGCCTGCTCTTTATTTACAGCCTTTACAGGCAACATGAGAAGCTCTTAGCACAATGTGTCCTGCCTTTCATACACCTTTTATTCATCCTTTTGTCAGTTTTCACTATTTCCTACCTTGAACTAAAAATAACTTGCTGTGCAAACAGTTGAAACAGTGGACTGTCCTGTGTATCTGAGATATTGTTTTTAAGAAAGGCATGTCGCTGCTCACTCTTACAAATAGGAGTGAGGATAAGACAATATAGACCTTCAAATGACATCAATTTGTCCACCAAAATTGTTTTGTTTTGTTGTAACTGCCCCTTTAGCAGCTTGAGATGTACAGTATTAGGACAAACAATAGAAAGATGACAGTGTTGTATCTGGGTTGGCAAGGATTTAAGAATCCCAAACTGTCTGCATGCTAGTAGAAATCTCTTCTCTCACACTTATGTGCTTAACTGAATGTCATTACAGAATTCTTGCCCATGGTGGACTTTCTTTTTATGTTTGTATGTGTGTTGAAGGCGACCCACCCAGGGCTGCTGAAGGTCAGTGGCCTCCAGGAGGGGTTGTACACCTTCCAGATGACTGCCACTGACACAGCCGGTCAGAAGAGCTCCGACAACGTGTCTGTCACAGTGCTCGCCCCAAAACACCAAGCAGAAGGTGGTCAACTCACCACAGCATGTCGCAGCATGTCTTCATGATGTACTGAGTTCCCCTTAGATATAAGGTTCTTTGCTGTCAAGTGGTGTATGTTTGAGATGCAGATAGAGAAATATCTAAATTTGTTATCTTAGCCAGTTAGAATAAAAATCGGAGCTTTCATTAAGCCCCAGCATTTATATGTACATACTGTATACTACAGATTTCACATTTTCAAATTAAAAGCTGTTTTTGTATTTACAGTGGAAGAGTAGTGAGAGCTGTGTAGCTGTAGCTTTCTGTGTCTGCAGTGTGTACAGGTCACTGTTCAAACTACCAGTTCAAGTGTGACGATGGCTGCTGTATTGACATCACATACGCCTGTGACGGGAAGCAACACTGTCCAGACCGTTCTGATGAAGACTTCTGCCCAAACTGTAAGAAACCTCTGGTGTTCACACATGCATGTTTGGTTAGTGGAAGCAGTCTTTCATATTCTCTTGCATAAATTAATGGAAAGAATGGAAAAATAACATGGTGCACAACATATAGACCTCCCCACACCATTAATTTGTTTTTCTGTGATGTGTTTAGTTGATGGCAGCCGGAAGTCTGTTACCCACTCTGCTGACCTACCCAGCCCTCGCTGGCCTGTAGCCCAGACAGAGGAGGCTGAGGACAGCTCCATGCTCCAGACTGGGCCCAGAATGGCCATGGAGAAGTTTATACCACCTCCTCCACAAAGTCCCAGTCAACAAGAGGCTTCAGTGAGTCAAGGTAGTGTTGTGTTCACATATACAGTAATGCTCCTGATTCACACTTACTTTATTACAGTCTGTTTGGTCAGACAAGAACAATGTAATGTGAACAGAGAGATCATCAGTAAACTGCACCAAGGAACTGAAAATGTTGCTCTGCAGTGTGTTAATACAAAATAAAGTGGCAAGTCTAAATACATGGTCGATTGGATTGGAATCTACATTTTATGCTGTAGCTGTACTTGTACACATAACCCTCCATTGCTGTGCCGTCAGTGCAGTATCCCTTGGTAAAGAGGCAGAGATGGTTTTTAGTGTGTCTCTGGACACAGAAGCAGATGGAGCCCTGTAGGCTGTCATTGAGTCATAGCACTGAACTCAGAGTGCTGGCGGAGCCACAGGGCCACTCTGCAGTCCCTGGGAAAGCAGCTCTTTTCCTGCATCCCCTCTGAGTGCTGGAACAAAGCAGCTCTGTCTTCTCTGCCATCGGATCCCTGAATCAGACTGAGACTGACCAAACAAGCTTTGTCCCAAATCAGCGTTTTACCACAGCTATTTCAGAGTCTTTCCTTCATTTAGCTAATGCTCAGTGTCATGTCCAAAAGATGAATACCTCATTGTTCAGCCTAAAGACAAAGAAGTCAAAAGAATACACTGTTGTTTAGGTGACTGACTTCTGTGCTCAGCTGGTTGTGGGAAGTATCTTTTATATCACTGATATTCACTGTTCTCTAGTGTTAATCTCCTACCAAACTACACTAACTCATAATAATGGCAAACCTGTTGAAAATCAAAACCTGAAGCTTGTAGAGACTTTCCCAAGACTGAAGCTGTGATTGTTGTTAAAGAGGCTTCTACAAAGTGCTGATTTAAGGATCTGAATCCTTTTGAAAATAAGAGATTTCCCTTTTTGATTAAACATCTAAAACACGTTTTTACTTTGTCATTATGGTTTATTCATTATAGATTGCTACATCAGACTGACTGCACAGGACCTACCACCCACAAACCTGAGTCAGTCATAAGCAAGCATGAAAACCAGTAGGCACCTGAGCAGAGAAATCAAAATACAGCTCAGAGTCACAGAAAAATGGATGTAATATTAAGCTTTTGCTGCTCCAAGTAGTGATTGTGTTAATGGAAGCTTGGAGGAAGAAAGAAACCAAGGGTAAGTTGTAACAATAACCACTTTTGTTAAATTACATCCAGTTCAAAAGAGCCCTTTTTGAACAAGCGGGCTGGTGTGACTGGAGGGGGGTACGTGAGTTTATCTGAACAGACTGGGCTTTACAGCACCACACACGTGACTTGGCTGAGTTGAACAGTGGCCAACCTAAAACAAGCTGACTGCACCTTTCTCTTTTGTCTCTGCTGCCGCAGGGCCGTGTGCTGCAGCTCCAGTCGTGGGACCCTGTAAAGGCACCTTTCCACGTTGGTACTATGACCAAAACGCAGGAGAATGCAAACACTTCCTGTATGGTGGTTGCCAGGGCAACCATAACAACTTCCTCCAGGAATCTGACTGTGTCAGTGAATGTATACAAAAAAGTGAGATTTGGCTCCTTTGTACTGCAACAATGTAAAACTATTGTAATTTTTTATCGTATTTATTTTGTATTTGTACTAAAAACATCTTCCAGGTCCAGCATTCAAACCTGCAACTGTGGCCCCTCCCATCACTAAACAGACTGAGATAGGTACATTAATTTTAAAAACTAGGAAACAACATACATACAGTATCAGTAACATTGTGCTGGCTATTTCCTAAACTAAGCTGTATTTGTATTTTTGTTGAAGCTGCTGCTAAGGTCTCCCAGAGCCAGGCAGAAAGCGGCATCCCCTTCTCCAAACCATTTCCCGCCATGGGAGGGCATCCAGCCCCAGAGTCGGGTAAGACCCAATGTTTGCGTCTGTTGGTACCTCCCAGGCCCCTTATTTGATCACTTGAACCCTGAAATCTTGCCACTTGTCCATCTTGAAAGCCACCCCAGAGCCTTTATTTCTGCTCTGATGATTGAGAAACAAGGAAAGATGAGGGATCTCTGAGGAGACATGAGCCAGGATCCTTCACAGAGGTCTTTACTGGACAGACGCCCTTTATTGGAAACCTGTTAGTGACTAGACACTGCATCTGATCAGACTGATCTGATCCTAACATCATGGGAGTTTCATACCAAAGAGGACAACCAGGATACCAAGATTTAGATTTTGTTTTCACCATCTTGTTAAAATTGCTTCAGACTGCAGTGCAGAGGAAGGACATCTTATGGCTCAAACACGTTTCCTCTTTCATCCACCTTTTCCTTGCATCACTCCTCATGTCTTCAGTGGGGCCGACTAAGATGTGTACCTATGATTCTTTTTACATCGTCGTGCTCTGCTGTACTTTTCATCTCGTTATTTCTCTGTCTCGTTACCTCCTCCAGGTGCAATCCTTCCTCTGGCACTCGGTATAATCATCACTGCTCTCCTGCTGCTCATGATCAGCTGTCGTCTCAGACTTGTTCGTCACAAGCTGAAGAAGGCGCGACCCCTCACCACAGAGGAGTCAGACTACCTCATCAACGGCATGTACCTGTAACCAGTCAGAGCGCTGAGATCTGACAAAGAGCAACAAGGGTGTCATCACCAGAGCCTGAGCCAGGACTTTTACTAGTCTCAAATTTGTTCTGGCTTCAGGTCAGAACCATCTCAATTCTCTGCTGGAGTGAACGTTTCCAACCACCCCCACCTTGGACCCCTCTGCCAGGTAAACCTGCCAATCATAGATGCTGCCTTCAGAGTCAGTGACACATATCCATACAGTATACTTGTAAATTCATACTTACTTCGTTGTCTTTAAAAAAAAATCTGATTGTGATTCCCTGGAGAAATCCAGCATTCCTTGTTCGAAACTGACTACTGTGTATTCCCCCAGTGACCTCTGGGATACATATGAGAGGCTCTTTTGACCCTTTTATTAAAATTGATATTCTGGGCAGCATGGTGTAGCAGTGGTTACCACTGTTGCCCCACAGCAAGAAGGTTCTGGTTTCGAGCCCAGGCCAACCCAGGGAATTTCTGTGTGGAGTCTGCACGTTCTCCCTGTGCCTGTGTGGGTTCTCTCCAGGTACTCGGGCTTCCTCCCACAGTCCAAAGACATGCAGCTTAGATTGACTGGTGACTCTAAATTGCCCCTAGGAGTGTGAGTGTGTGGCGTTGTTTGTCTACGTGTCAGCCCCGTAATAGACTGGCAACCTGTCCAGGGTGGACCCCGCCTCTTGCCTGAAGTCAGGTGGGATTGGCTCCAGCCCCAGTCAGGGTCAGAAACATGACCCTGTTCAGCATAAGTAGTATAGTTATAGTTAATGGATGGATGGAAATTGATAGTCATTTCTATTTATTGTTCTGATGTGCTGATGTTTTTCTGCCACTGGATGGCAGTGATGTACTGTACCATATCTGTGCTGAGTGAAACTGAGGTCAGCAAAGTAATACTTTGGGAGTGCCTACTATTAACTTTATTCTTAAAGTATCCCAGAATAATAGAAAGCCATAGTAAATTAAATTGGTCAAATCCTACCCCCGCCTGATTCTGTTGCTATTTATCTTTATTAAGCAAACAAATATGACATACATACCATATTAACAAAGATATGTTCCCTCAAAGTGCAATCCTGTATGTGAGGTATTAAAGTTTACCTATCAAAAATACTGGTGTTATGTTGACAGTGATTTACAAATGATATTTTCCCACATCTTTAGCAGGATTAAATCACCACTGAGGACAGTCTGAGAGTGAAGGAAATGTACATATTCAAAGCTGATCAATATATTTAGTCATCTTTAAACCTAATCATTGTTAAACAAAAATGTGTAAAATTTTGTATTTAATCAGCAGTTATCCTCCTACCATACAGATGAACATGAAAATACATTAAAATCATAAAATTGAACACAATATACATTTTTTTTGTGACTCAGCACAGACTTCTTTGTGTAGCCTTGTGTTGAGGGAATCTGGACTCCTTTATTTCTAAAAATGCCTGCGAGGCTTCAGGCTGCAGCCTGCACACAGACTGAATAACAAAGGCAGACAAAAACATAAGCATCTCTTTATTTTTATATGCCATTCCAGAAATGGTGAAAGCCAAATATCATCCATTATTTACATCGCCTAAAATAAAATGTGCTTTTTTGATTTCATGTAGTTTTTGAATTCCAAGAAAACAGACATTCATTTGCTTTATATTGTTGGAGTTTATTTTGGCAAAGCAGTGACGATCTCATGTAGCGTCAGTCACCATAAGAGCCTGCACAGCTGTTAATGGAAAACCAGCAGAGGAAAGCTACACATCACCAAGTGGAAAGCACAGCCCTGTATGTGCACTTGTGTCGGTGTTACTGCTGCTTCGCTCTCAATGCATTGCTTATTCTATGTGTGGAGTGGCCTAAAGAGCACGGTGCGTCAAACAACAGGATGCATGGGCTATATCAGCCTTTGTGGTGCCGGTGTGTGTGTGTTTCTAATACTGCTGGCAGTGGAGAAAAGCTCATGTTAGCAGAGAAGTCTACAGTTAGATGATATGTGCACACATATACGCTGTAGATAGGTGAATCATCTAAAAATCACAGATTTCCTTGTTGTCGTCCAGAGTTCATCATACATTCAGCTTTGATGCTGCTGAAATGTAATACTGCAAAAAATGGGTGTAACTCAGATTAAACCACAAAAACAAAACAGAAATGCAAATAAACCTAAAATCCAGCAGTTAGAAAGAATACACAACAAAAAAAGATGCAGGCCTGAAATGTCCAAACATTTCAGTGCTGAGCTTCAAGCAGTCTTTCTCCCCAGCCGTTCTGGGCTGACATCAGTGTGATACTCTAGTCCATTGTTAAACAAAAAGAGCATGTTTTGTTATGCTTTCATCAAAATGTCAAGGGCTGTTTGACCCCATCCAAGTTTTCTCCAGGTTCAAACTTAAAGGTGGATTATGGACTGCCTTCCTCTTCAAAGTTCATCCCTGTGTGAAACAAATCAAATGTTAGAAGAGAGAGAAAAACAAGGAGCAGCGTGCAAGAAACACAACTGTCGTCCTTGTCATGCAAACACAGTTAGTCACATGAAATGTTACAACATCCAAACAGTTATTGTTCTTGTCTACATCTCACAGAGTAGATCATCAAACAGAATAAATGGGTAATTTGGTTTTAATGTTTTATGAGCATCCAAATTGACCCCAAAGTCATGCTCTGAAAACCAAGCATATGCCTTCACACTGCTGCTATTTCAGTTTGTTTCATGTCTGTGTTCCAAACAGACCATGACTTAAAACTGCATTAGTCAGGCAAGTTTTATTGAACCAATTTTGGACTATGGTGTCAAAAAAATGATGAAGCAAGCGTGCAGCTACTTGGTATGGCATGGAAGAAGCAAAACATGTCAAGCAGCAAAGTGCAGCCCCTTGTGATCCATTGCCTGCTCCAAGCCACACCTTTTCACCTTTGCCACTGTGAGAAGGAGAGAAAGGGAGGAGAGGGAGAAGGAAGTCACTTCCACCTGGACCACTGCTTGTCTCGGTCTGTTAAAGGCACATAAATCACCCCCATCAAGGGCTTCATCTTGGTGCTGCCATCCTCCATCTTGTCATATTGCTCCAGCATCTGGTTTCCTCCGGCTGGGCCGACGGGCAAAATCAGCCGTCCGCCAGGCTTCAACTGGTCCAAAAGCTGGGAAAGAAACACGGTGCACAGTGACACAAAGGACTGAACAACATGCATTTGAAAGACGTTCCAGCATTTCAGGCCAACCACTGTGTTGTCCAGAGTGAAAGTTGCATTTAAGGTTTTTTGAACAGCTGGCATTCATTCCGTTTTTGAAGTGAACTGGAACAATGTGACCTTGATCATCAGCTTTAAAATTATTCAGAGACTCACAGCTTGGGGTACAGTGGGTGCTGCTGCGCCAACATGGATGGCATCATAAGGTGCCTCCTCCGTGTAGCCCATTCGCCCGTCTCCCACTGAAACACACACGCAGGTTATCACTTACAGGCTGCCAGCAGCAAAATGTGGATGCATCTCCTCAAGGTGTCATTTGTGATGGTTGTGATAATGCCTATACCTTTCATTAATAATGGATAGATGACTTTTTCTCGATACAATTCGATGCACAATATGGTGTGTACAATTCAATTAGATCACAATACAATTATAATTACAACAACAGTGTGACCAGCTGCGGAATACATGAACTTTATTCCTCTTTTTCCCCTTTTATATGACTGGTTTAATTATTTAAAGAACAACCAGATATATTGACTTTGCATTCTGTTTACCTTTAATATGAAGCCACTGGTTTATGAAGACCACACTACATATACTGCTAGACCAAAACGATACATATTGTGATGGTTTTATATTGCAATATATTGTCCGACCCCTACTTGAATTGTGCCATTAAAACAATTTCTAAAACTGAAGAACACACACTGTAATCATATGTCAGTAACATCTTACCTATTAGCTTGACTCGGCCTGATGTGATCAAACTGGGGTCATCTTTCTTCACGTTGTTTATAGAATCATCTACCAGCTCTTTGATGTGATCAATTCCTATAACTTTCCCTTTAGGACCTACCTGTAAAGCATGGAGGGAGGGAGGGAGGGAGTGCAGGTCATAGAGGGGAAAAAAAAAAAAAAAAGGTCACAGACAGACATTTTAATTCACTGTTAATTTGTTCTTCTGAATTCTGAAAGCCGCCAAAGAAAAATTGTATAGGTTTACCCGTCCTGTGTGTGGCTCACCATTCGTGCGAAGCAAACGGACAGGATTCCACTGCCGGAGCCGACGTCCAGGGCTTTGGCTCCCTCATACAGCTGATCGTGTAGAAGCTCCAGGGCATAGGCGTGCTGGGTGGAGGGGGGCGTCGACAAGGAAACCACATTACAACCCGTCAATCAGCAATGATTATGTATCCAATACCGACATACAGTGGGGCAAATAAGTATTTGATACACCGCCAATTTTTCAAGTTTTCCCACTTACAGAGAATGGAGAGATCTGTAATTTTCATCGTAGGTACACCTCAACTGTGAGAGACAGAATCTACAAAAAAAATTCCAGAAAATCACATTGTTGGATTTTTAAATAATTTATTTCCATTTTATTGCATGAAATAAGTATTTGATACAATAGAAAAACAGAACTTAATATTTGGTACCGAAACCTTTGTTTACAATTACACAGGTCAAATGTTTCCTGTAGTTCTTGACCAGGTTTGCACACACTGCAGCAGGGATTTTGGCCCACTCCTCCATACAGGTCTTCTCCAGATCTTTCAGGTTTTGGAGCTGTCGCTGGGCAACACGGAGTTTCAGCTCCCTCCATAGATTTTCTATTGGGTTCAGGTCTGGAGACTGACTAGACCACTCCAGGACCTTGAAATGCTTCTTACGGAGCCACTCCTTAGTTGCCCTGGCTGTGTGTTTGGGGTCATTGTTATGCTGGAAGACCCAGCCATGACCCATCTTCAATGATCTTACTGAGGGAAGGCGCTTGTTGCCCAAAATCTCGCGATACATGGCCCCATCCATCCTCTCCTCAATATGGTGCAGTCGTCCTGTCCCCTTTGCATAAAGGCACCCCCAAAGCATGATGTTTGCACCCCCATGCTTCACGGTTGAAATGGTGTTTTTGGGATTGTACTCATCCTTCTTCTTCCTCCAAACACGGCGAGTGGAGGTTATACCAAAAAGTTCTATTTTGGTCTCATCTGACCACATGACCTTCTCCCATGCCTCCTCTGGATCATCCAGATGGTCTGTGGCAGTCCCAGCTCGCTTCAGGTCATGGACCAGGTCCTCCTGTGTAGTTCTAGGCTGATCCCTCACCTTTCTCACGATCATTGATACTCCACGAGGTGAGATCTTGCATGGAGCCCCAGTCCGAGGGAGATTGACAGTCATCTTGAATTTCTTCCATTTTCTAATAATTGCACCAACAGTTGTTGCCTTCTCACCAAGCTGTTTGCCTATTGTCCTGTAGCCCATCCCAGCCTTGTGCAGGTCTACAATTTTGTCCCTAGTGTCCTTAGACAGCTCTTTGGTCTTGCCCATAGTGGAGAAGTTGGAGTCTGATAGATTGAGTGTGTGGACAGGTGTCTTTTATACAGGTAACGAGTTCAAACAGGTGTAATTAATACAGGTAATGATTGGAGGATAGGAGGGCTTCTTAAAGACAAACTAACAGGTCTGGGGGAGCCAGAATTCTAGCTGGTTGGTAGGTTATCAAATACTTATTTCATGCAATAAAATGGAAATAAATTATTTAAAAATCTAACAATGTGATTTACTGGAATTTTTTTTTGTAGATTCTGTCTCTCACAGTTGAGGTGTACCTACGATGTCCATTCTCTGTAAGTGGGAAAAATTGGCAGTGTATCAAATACTTATTTGCCCCACTGTACATGTGGTAAAGACAGGTGGCAAGCATCACTACTTTGTCTTTGTTTTCAGTTTGGGTGACTAATATTAGATTTCTCAAAGCTATCAAAGCTAACATGTTAGGAGTCAATACATAATGGTTAACCGTCAATGTAAATCACTAAAATTAAGTTTTAAATAAAAAGAAGATTATAAATTTGGAACATTTCCCTAGCTGCTTCTCTTTGTTATCTAATAAATGACTGAATGGGAGCAAGCTTTGAAAATGTGATTTACAGGGTGCAGAAATATCCAAGAGTCTTTAACGTCATACCATGTGTGGGGCGCTGATGGTTGCTTGATAGCCTTTTGGTTTAAAGAGAGGCACAGACTTGGTTAGTTCATCCCTCAGATGTCAGACTGTATTTGCATTTCAGACTGAATGACTACATGAGCGAACGTACCTATTGACTGCGGAGAGTCCATATAAGGATTACACCTAGAGAAATGGGCTCGGTCTGTGGCAAGCAAGACTTCATAGACCTTGTCGGACTTAATAATGCCATTTTCTGGGGACACAAAAGAGTTTGTGTCACTGTGTGTTAGGGAAACGTGCCCAAGTACAAATACCAGACAGAAGTATATTACATAATCTTCCAGCAGAAAAAAATGGAGACAAATACAGTAAAGAATATACAAAGTATAAAAGAAGATACAGGTAAGAAAACACAGTTAATGCAGTGCATGAACTGGTCTACAGAAAGCCACACATATGTAAGCTACAGGAAAAAGTCAGTACTTTATAGACGAGCTATGGAAGAAACTAAAAAAAAGTGTTGGTGTCCCTTCAAACAGGTTTGTGTAGCAGCTGGTGCCAAAAGCAGGAAAAGCCAGCGACAGCCGGCACTGCTCTCATTACCCTCTCCCCTCACCCTCAGAGCTACGTGCCACTTTAGGATACATTACAAATAAACCACACAAGTGGCCAAATGGACATTAGTAAATTCTGAAGTGAAAATAACCCCTACTGGTAGATTTCAAGCTGTTTTCTTCCTAATCATAATTCCTCTCAGAAATCTAAATTGTCTTTGCATGCCTTAGGATAAGCAAACCAACTTCATGCTGTTTTCTAGGCTATAATTTAGAGGCACATTTAATTTTCTTTCAACACACTACTGGCTGCTCAGCCTTAAAAATTCATGAGGCGTTTGAGATGGACTACTACTGCCCATGCTGACCAGTTCTGAGCACTGGTCAGGAGGACAGAGACAATGAGTCAAGGGACAAGGTCTTCAATTAGCATGCATCCTGAGTGTGACCTGCTTAAATCCAGCTTATGAAAACTCAGGGTTAAATTTAAGCTATTCCTGTGTCTAAACGGGTCAAAGTCAAGTAAAGTGTTCAATCAGGATGAGCACAAAATAGCAATGACATAAAACACAACAATTAAAATACGGATTCACAAGTTATTAGCACTTATACCATGACCAAATGAGAAAAGCTATAACTTGTTCTTATACCACTGATAGAAAAAACTTCTGCGTCAGTGGGAATGGCAATCCAGCATTTTATTATCCTGCATTAAATAGCTTTGTACGCTTAGGAGCTTGCTTCAACGTCCCTGTGCAAGACAAATAGAGCAGACATACTGTATAATCTTATCTAGTTACCCATGTAGATAAACATAGAGTAGCATGCAAGTTTTGCTTTTATGTAAAAGCAAATACAGGAAGACTAGTAACTGTTCCCAAACCATACAGCTTTTGGCAAAATGCTTGCAGCTGAACTGTCTGTTGCAATGCTATGCTGGATTGCACAGAATATAAATAGACCTGGTATATTAAAAGTGGACTTGCATAGGCTACTCAAGTTTACAGATATCATCACAGTGAATAGAATTGTGGATATATGTGGGACAAGCTACATGTCAGATTAGTGGTTGCACGTTCTTAAAGTAGCCAGAGTTCAGCTACTTTATCACGCAATGCACCACACTGATCGCTGAATAACCCATGTGGCATTGATGACATCGATCATAGTGGGCTCAGCATCAGATAACAGCAGTCTAATACGGTAGCATACTGAGTCACTGCTCTGTTTTGCATTCCCTATCGCCTGAATAAACTAACGCCCAGTGTGACATAGCAAGCTGTCACTTTTCAGTCATCCACTATAAAGGGACGTGTAGAAACTAGCCGCACATGTCCAGCTGTCAGTGTCATTCAGAATTAAGTAAAGTGCATGACAGTTACAGAGATAGCCATCAATGAAGGTGGGCAGGGCACTTAGCAGCGCGGCTAACGTTAGCTATAGCGTCCAAAATGACGCACATATAGGTAGCAGGCTAAACTAGCCTAAGACAAAACTGTAGTTGCACAAATATTCTGCACAAGGAAGATGTCATTTGTGTCTTTATCGATGATTTAATTTTTTTTTGCAACGACTGTTTCATGGTGTAAACGTGGTTATGGAGGGGGGTGGGTGGAGATAGGTTACTAAAGCTAGGGCAACAACAACATACCTATAGCTTAGCAACGAGCTAGTTAGCGGTCCTGTATGTTAACCTCTGCCTCCAAACTAAACCAATTTCGCACGAAATGTCAGTGACGGTGTAGGAGCCGCTGCTTTACAAAACGTTTAGACTTACTGCGGAGGTTGTTAACAAGCTCTGCGTGGCTGGCTCCTCCAGATTTCCAGGCCATTCTTAAGCAGACTTTGCGGAGTAAGTAGACAGCAGCTGTCAGTGCCGCGCCTGCGCCAAACGTTTTACCGATGAAGCTCACAACCTCCAGAACAGACGGCGTAGTGGCGGGTACGTCACCAGACTTCCGAAATTATTTTACTGCAGGGCAGCCTTTATGACCCACACCCTGATGCGCAATAGTGCCAGTTAACACTGTAATGACCCTGTTTAGATAAATGCCTCAGCCAGGGTTAATTGCACTGGAAAAAGCCACCTTCCTCACTCTGTGAAAAATCGGATTTGCCGCAGTAACACAGAAAGTAGCCACTAGGTGGCACGAAGTACTTTTGTAAATCAAGCATTAAAATGCATTTCTACATACTGACTTTTTCCAGTCTCTTCACACAGTTCTCACTACTGACTACTGACATCCAACTCAGCATAGCAGCTAATGTCATACCCAAAATGCACTAATGCAAACAAAACTGTTCATAAACATCTCAGGATCAACTCTTGTAGCAGAACATTTGTCTCCAAACAAGAAGTTTTTGTTACTCGGAATACAATGACCTTGAAAAACACAACAGGTAGCATTATAATATGTATCATCAATGTCCCTTTATTTATTTTTACAATATAGTTCTCTGTACTGAGTTCACCTTTTCAAAAATTCACTTGGAATAATGGCAGTCATTTTTGACATAAAATAAATTCAATAACCACACCTTTCATTCATGAATTGTTTTCTTACACGAATTCCACCACCACGAAAGCTTCGTGTACTTAAACTCCATTATGCACTCCATACAATTTGCTCCATTCTGCTACACGACATTTAAAAGTAGTAGTAGTAGTAGTAGTAGTAGTAGTAGTAGTAATCATAATCATAATAATACATGAACTCCTAATTTGGGACATATAGCCTACAATCCTTACTTTATACCAGTTGGTGGCGTTAATTGACTTTTTAAAGAAAAGTACCCCTACCAAGAACACGTTTTAATTGACAGGTGTAAATGTGTATTTTACAGACGCTTATCTGATTTTATCTATTTATTTTTGTTGTTGCATTTCCATTAAAGGTCGGCTGACTTTGTGGTTTACCAAAGAAGATTTAGGTTGTTTGACCTTACTGGGACACCGTAGTTACGTATATGTAGCGGGCGCGTACACAGGGTTTGCTCATGGATGCTAAGCGAATACAGACTATCGTTCTCTAATTTCAAAGTGGGAGAGACTGTTTCCGTTTAAATGGAGAGTATAAATGCGAAATACGTGTCCCAAAAAATCAGCAAAACGAGATGGCGACCAGTATCATTTTCGTCTTTGCAGCAACCAGATATCTTTACGACTGGTTCGTGGGACAACGAGGTAGGCAAGTTCTAATAGCTGTCTGTGATAGATGAATGGACTTCACACCAAACGTCATAGAAAAAGGACACCACTTTGTTGTAGTTCGCTAACTGGTGTACTTACATGTTGTGATTGTCATTGCACTTTCGGTATACATTGAGCAGCTAAACAAATGATATGTTTTTGCTGCACTAATATTAGTAAGGCTAAACTAGACCTTCAGTTACTAGCATGGAGGCATAAAGACTGGGTTAATCATGTCTACTAGAAAGAAGAAAGTACACTAATGACAATAGTGGAAGACTTACTCATAACTTTAACTCGTACCTGTACCTGTCACATAAATGTAGTGGAGTAAAAGTACTTTTTTTTCCTCTGACATTTTGTGAAGTAGAAGCATCTCAAAACTGTATGCAAATACAATTCCTGACTAAATGTACATAGTTACTTTCCACCACTCGTGCTGATCAGTGATATTTGTTCAATGTAACAACTACTAGATTGATTTCTGTCTTTTGAGACTTTTTTAACTTTACATTATAGCAGTTAGAACAAGTTTGAATTGCACTTAATCAATCTTTATGTGTGTCTGTTGCAGGACAACAAGATTTCCTTTTGGTCCATTGGAAATTATGAAGTTTCTGATATTGAAGATGGATTTGAAGGAGATCCTCAGCTACTGTGTGAACACAAACATGAAGGAGATGTTCTGGACCTTCAGGTAAGTGTCTCGTGGAAGGTCAGCATACCTAATTTATCAGAAAGTTGTAAATATTATTTAATATTTCTGCTGTTTATTGTGACCAGAAAGGGAGACTTGCTTGCACTTCATTAGACTTGGTCTTGTGGAAAGAAATGGAGCAGTCTCTGTATGTGTTGCACAGAAAAACCGCCCATTAAATACACATTACTTTACATTGGTGAACCAGGGTAACAGGGTCTTGCTATCTAAAAGTGATAGATATGAAATTGTATAACTAAAAGTGTGTCCCTGCGATGAATACGTTCAGCATTTTTTGTATTACAAAAAACGCACTATGTACTTAAGGTGCTAAGGCTATTTTCGCTTCTCTAATATTTTATAGTTTCTGGACCAAGAAAGAATTGTCACAGCATCTTCAACTGGAGCAGTCACCATCTTCCGCCACCACCAAAACAGTCAGGTACATATCATCATTGTGTTTTTACTTTAATTTGTTTCATGTTAGAGGCAATTGATAATGAGCCAGCCCTGAAACTCTAATTATATTGACCTGGATCTCAACCCACTTTTTGACAGGGGAAATCTAGGGGTCATCTTACTCAAACTGACCCTCGCCTTGCATTTCTGAAGTCATCAGTCTAATGTGAAAGCTGTGTATTGAATAACTACAAATTTGATCAAATCCATAAGGTGTTTTATTTATGGCTTCAGAAATCCTTAATTAAAAGGGGACTTTGATTAGCAACAGACCTGGAAATAATTACACAAATGTGGTGCAGCTCAAGGAAATTGTATATCACACACTTGGGATGTTGGTTTGGTAAGTCATCTAATTTTCTTTGTCTTTTCTCTCTTGCCTGCAGACAATATCAGTTTCTCAGCACTGGGCAAGAGCACATCATTACTCTTGTGATGACGCCCCCTGTACTGGTGTTGTGTGCAGCATTCCTGAGATTATTACAGTTGGTGAAGATGGCAGGATCATTGTGTTCAGAGCCGACCAGGAAGGAGTGTTTCGAGTCATAGGTAAGATTAAAATTAAGATTTTGTAGCCAGACCAACATGCCACATTAAAATGTACACAGAATTAAATTAGCATAATATAATTCAGCATTTTGAAGTCATGTTGAATAAGCTGAGTGGTATAATGTGATAAACATATTGTACTGGACTGTTCAATCATTGCTAGAGAATGCAGACAGCAGCACAATTCATGCCGTGACTTACCTGAGGACAACAGAGATTTTGACGGTGAATTCTATCGGCCAGCTCAAGATATGGGATTTCAGACAACAGAGCAACTCACCATCCCAGATTCTCTCTCTGTAAGACATTCTCATTTCACATTTGTTAATGTTTATCTTTCTGTTGTGCTCTTTTCCAAGTGCACCTTATATGGGTTATTTTGATTCTAAGTCATTTTTATACGTTGTTTTCTTCTCAGGTCAGGGAATAGAGTTCCTCTGCACTGTGTGGACAGGCATCCTAACCAGCAGCACATTGTGGCCACTGGAGGCCAGGATGGCATGCTCTGTGTCTGGGATGTGAGACAAGGCAACAGTCCCTTCTCACTCATGGAGGCGCACTCTGCTGAAAGTAAGATTTCATTACTGATGTAGCTGGTAGAATAGTGACAGTGATTGGACACTTGAGTGGGCCTGGCTCTCAGATGGGATTACTCACCAAGCTATCTGGGTTAGCCAATGCATAACCCGAGCAAATAAAATGCAGATACTGTGTGTTAAGCCACTAAACGTCTTTGCTTTGTATTAAAGTCAGAGTGGAGACATTTTTGATGTAAGCATGGTATGACTGGTTAGGGTTGGAAAATGGTGTTACTTATTATGGGGACCTGAAGATTTACTCTTTGTGGCCAAACAACATCATTTACTTTGTATACTGAGCTTTCATATGAATGTGCCCCCATTCTTTGGTACATTTAATTGTGTATTATCAACTATGTGAAAAAAGTTTATTTATTTGTTGTTGTTTTTTTTTTTTGTTGGGTTTTTTTGCAACAACTTTTGACTTGTTTTTCATTGGTTTTCCGCACAGTGTGGGAGGTCCACTTTCACCCAACCAACCCAGACCATCTATTCACATGCTCAGAGGACGGCTCACTGCTGCACTGGGAGACTACCTCTCATTCAGATGTTCCCTCCTTCCTACAAGGCAAATCAAATTATTCTGTCTGGTATTCAGTTGTCCTTTCTTTTTTAAAGAAAGAACTTATGTGTTCTCAAAAACTGGCAATTCTTAAATGACAAAATTGTTTTTGTCAGTTAAACATTTGGCAATTTTAGAAATTCAGTGGTGGAATGTAACTAAATAAATTTACTCTTGCACTACACTACAGTTTTTACTGTACAGTAGGTACTTTGTCACTTGGCTTGTAGTTTCCAGTTTAGCCTGTCAGCGGTGACCTCTGGCCTCCCAGTCACCAAATTGTATCAGCAAACAGCTGCATCAGGAGTTGACAATTATGCATGGCAGTTATCTCATATGATTTGCTCTGTATTCATCATACAATATTTGGATCTATCATGCATTAGTCATCTAGCCACAGTTGGTACCTTTTGGTTAACAGAGTGACTTCAAAAACACTGACTCAGCTAGCGTGATAAAACAACAGACTTGCATCTTAAGAAAACTGTACAGCAACATAATACGAGTACAGTAATCAGAATAATCCTAACAAGGTTTATTATTGTGTTTCCAGGTGGCAGAAACAGCAGCATGATGTCTCGCAGTGCGATGGCCCCAGCTGGAGGGAACCAGTCCCTAATCAGTGCTTGGCTCAGTGGTGACTCTAGTAAAGGCCATCTGGAGGCCACTCACATACTGCCTAGCCAGACGCTGTCTGTTAACAGTTTGGATGTACTCGGACAGTGTCTTGTTTGCGGGACTGATGGAGAGGCTGTTTTTGTTAATAGACAGGTCCCAGTTTAGATAAGATGTGGATGATGATTTCAGTTTCTGTCACAACAAAGGTTTTAATGTCTCCTTTGATCATACAGAGTGCCACAAATGTTGTATGTTCACAGGTGTACTGGTGACATTTTTCTGTTGTACAATTCTTTATACACATTTTGCTGTTGCAGTGGTGGATTTTCATCACTCAGGGTTTTTGAAAATCACTCCAAGCACAGTATTTCAGCTCAACAGTACTTTTTATATGGCTATCATTTCAGACTGTTCTGAAACAAATTAATAAAAAGCCTTTTTACACAAGTCTTTTGGTTTTTTGTTCATACAGAAATGCAAGATTGATCATGCTTATGCTTCTTTATCCCATCATAATGGATCCAACACCAGCACCATATGGATTATGAGACACTGGGTTCCTGGACACAGACAACTGAAAGGCCCCCACCTTCCTATATAGGAGCGAGACTGAAAAGATTTTCTGTATATTTTTAGTCGTTTTGCATTTCTGTGGTCATTTCATACAGACATACGCGCCAATGTAGGAAAACCTCCTTTATATTTATCCGCCACTATATTTTGAAACTCCAGGCTTCACCCAAGGGACTTTTATTGTGAATTCGACAGTAACCGGATGTCAGTTGTGTTATGTGTGTGACTAACTTGTCGGTGTTGTACTTGTCATTCAGACATCCCAGGAATTCAACACGACTACGACCCAAGCAGCTCGGCACAACAAGGACTTTTTGGGTTAAAGTCGCGTCCTTGTGGCCGAGAAAGATCGAAGAAATATCTTTTGTTGTCAGAATAGGAAAGGTGTCGAAGAAAGTGGCAGCTACAGACACTGGTAAGTTGGCAGACACGGCTAACTGTGTCCAAGCTAGCAGGCTAACTCGGAAGCTGTTGTTGAATTAGCCTAGCAGTAGCAAATGGATGTATTTCACACGCAGGGCCGCGAAGATATCGCTGCGATGTTTGATTTTATGCAAAGCGAAATAAAGATAACCACAATTTGTAGCTCGTCGGTTGCTCAGTAGTGGAGATAATTAAGTAAATGTGACAAACAGCGATAGCTCTTTAGCATACTTGACGTATAAGAACCATAGTTAAAATACAGCTCTGTTAGCTCGGTTAGTTAACGGCGCTAACAAGTGGTCCTGCTGGGGAAGGTGTTATTTTTGGTGGCAGGTATCTCTAACTTACCTTAAAACACCATACACTAAGTTCAAAATAAACTCCTAGTAGAACAATAACATTAACAATTCTCACCAAAAGAGTCATAACATATTCCTTCTCATTGTCTTATTATTAGCTTTCCTAGAAGTATTGTCTGGTAGTATTGTTAGCATTTTCTGCTTTTCATTAGTCGTTAACGTATCGCTTATTATAATATTAGTCTTTATCTGATTGTTATTGCATTACTTAATATTACTTAGGTTGTTTGGTTTGTGCTGGCTGTATTGAATAAGCTAATACCAAAATTTTCTTAGGGATTAATGGACTATCTGTCTGTAAACTCCAAAAAGACGGCCTGACCAATTATAATATTCATATAACTAATATTTATCTGTTGGGATTTGTTAATTATTACTCTCTACATCTCATTTGTCCAACCTGTTATATAACTGGATGTCTGCTCATCAGAGATTTGGTTGATTACAGGTTTTGTCTGTTTCTTTGAGCGGCATGCTGATGTGAAGTCAGACATCAGAGACCCTTGCTACCCTCTGCTGCAACCCTGGACTGAGTAACACCCTTTTCATCTCCTTCATCATCATCATACATGTTCTTACATGAAGAGAGTGGAGAAACCCGAAAGATACAGACAGATGAGGCCCAAAACCTTCCCTGCCAGCAATTACAGTGGCAACAGTCAGCAAATGCTGCAGGAAATAAGGAACAGCCTGCGCAACCTGTCAAAACCCTCCGACCCACCAAAAATGGACATAGGTGGAGCTGCAAAAATGGTCCCTGAAGAACACAGGCATCAAGGGCGCAGCAGCAGCAACCCCAAAAACCCCTATCATAAGAAGGCCTTACAGGAAATTCGGGAATCTCTGTTACCTTATGCCAATGAATCCAATACTTCAGGACCTGAGGTGAACCAACACATGTCCCTGGAACCCCCGTGTACAGGGTTTGAGGAGGTGAGATGAGTGTTTGTGTTTTATTTGTCACCAGGACAAGTTGTTTTGAAGGACTGTAGAGGAATGTCATTCTATACATAACTCTGTAATCAAGAATAATCACGAGGCACGCTTTTTTTTTTAACAGAGTTATTTGGCAAATGACAAGTATGCAAAGTGGAATGACGAGCTTGTACGGTTAAGAACACAAAAGTATTTTCTTAGTTGTCAGTTGCAACTTGTTTTGAGCCTGTCCATTCAATCCAGGTATGAAATGGCACAGTATACACTAGAGTAGTGATCAGTTCTAAGAGATTAACTGTACAGTTTTTAGTTCGGGGGAAGAAATGCTTTTGCTAACATCTACCAACTATCAAATTCAGATCATCAGTTAGTTTATTAATTCTTTAGTTAAATGACAGAAAATTTATTACACAATTATTGTGATAATTCATTAATTATTTCAGATAATATGTAAAAAACAAATCTACTTCCAGCTTGTCTAATTTAAGGATTTGCTGCTTTTCCAGTTTTTATTTTATTGTATTATGTTTGTTTAACACAGAAACTCAATGGACAATGTAACCTCAGGCTCCAAGAAATATTTCAGTTTTTCGACATTTTATAAACTAATTCATTATTTGAGAAATTAATGTGCAAATTAGTAATTAATGAACATATCTGCATAGTTCTAATCCATTCAAATAAGCAGATAAAGCTTTGATTAATCCTGTATTCAATTTATTTACAGCTTGTTTCCATTTTGCTACACTTTGACTGCCTAAACAAGACAATGTTCTTTTGCCCCCAAGCCTCGCAGTGTGGCTATAGACTACATGGGTAAGCTGAGCTACCAGGACTCAATGAGGGACCAAATGGCTGTTGCCAACCCCAGCACTATGGGCCTGAAAGCTTCAGGTGTGTAAACTGTCCAGTGGGATTTAGTGCTGATTCCCCTCTTTTATTTTCCATCTTCCATCCATTCATTCTGCCATGTTTAACAACTGTTCTGGACCTTTATTAAAGAACAGTAAAGGGTAAGGAAGGCAGAGTCAAGTACACATGTTAACAAACCATGCCATAGAGGAATCAGTTTAAAAGATAATGGTTTTATACAACTTGGGCCTTACGTTCACAGTTTTACTATCATCTGGGAATGTGACTCTGGAATGAAAGAGTACTTTGGGTGGGTATATGTTTGAATTTTACAAATACAAATTGTTCAGTTACCTAATTCCATTTATTTTAATTTCACTTGGATTTTATTATTTCTTTTACGAGCATATGGTGCTATGGATAATGAGTGCTAAAATACTGTGAACACCATCAGTACAGAACAATTTTTGGTGGATAAGGTTTGTTGATTGTATCTCAAACAAGAATTTAAACACTACTTTGCATTATACTTTGAGTTCATCTGTGTTTAAACTTATATTACAGTATGATGCTTTAAAACAGATTGACTATTTGGGCTCTCCTTTACCTGGCAAAGATAGTGAAGATCAAAATGTTGCTCTGTTTTCATTTACTTATTTAATTTAACTTTTTGGTCCAGTGTTTGTGGATTTTTGTCCAAAGGTTCTAATTGATGCTTCATTTCCAGTGAACAAATTTTTTTTGATGATATTTTTAAATTACTTTTGTATCTGTAGGTGCTTCCCATATGCAGTCATCTGTGCTGAGGAGGCCGAGCTGGAAAGGCTCTAAAGAGTCTTTGGCCCCCCGAATGTATTGCTCTGACAACACTGGACCATCTCCTGCCTTCCCACAGGGTCACCCTGCTACCAGCCAGAGGATCAACCCACCACTGCCACCTCAGGTGCGCAGTGTCACACCTCCACCAAACCGCAGTACCATGCCTCCTGCAACATCCTGGGACAACAATCCATCAACCAAGCGTTACTCTGGCAACATGGATTATCTTGTGCCCCGCATTTCTCCAGTACCCCAGGGGGCCTGGCCTGATGGGTACCCAGCCTCAGCTCCTCAGAATCAGCATGGGATCAGCCCAGTGCCTGTGGGCCACCAGCCCATCATAATGCAAAGCTCTGGGGGGAATAAGTTCAATTTCCCCACCAGCTGGTCACATAATGGCTCCCCTCAGCCAGACTACATGGCGGGAGGTGGCAGGCAACCCCCTCCCCCATACCCAGTCAACCAGAGCAGCCGACACAGTCCCATTGACCAGCAGATGCAAGCAGGTGGACCTGCATCATCTCCCTCTTATGTCAATGGTGGAAACATCCCTCAGTCTATGATGGTTCCCAACCAGAATAGTCACAATCTTGACATGTGTAACATAGGCCCTCCTCAGTCCTGGTCCCAGCCCCCTCTAGTCCCTAATCAGTCACAGTCTTCCTCTGGCAATGGCAGCAACCAGGATCTGTCCCCATCATGGCAGCACAACATGCCAGTCCGCTCCAACTCCTTCAGCAACTCACAGTTGAACGGCAGACCGACCCACCCAGTAAGCTCCCAGCCCTCTGCCACTACAGTCACTGCCATCACCCAGGCTCCCATTTTGCAGCCAGTCAAAAGCATGCGTGTCCAAAAACCTGAGGTACAAACTGCTGTTGCACCCACACACCCTCCATGGATGCAACAGGCTCCGCCGTCTCTGGCTGCACCTGCCTACTCAGAATCCTCAGCCCCTGTCCCTCAGATCAGTGTCGTAGCAGAGGCACCCAGCTACCAGGGTCCTCCTCCACCCTACCCTAAGCACCTCATCCCGCAGGCATCTGCACCCTGCCCCCCGTCATACGATTCAGGGGCCAATAAGCACAACTCAGGTAGGGAGGAGTCCCCCGAGGAGGAGGTCAATGGTGGTGATAGCTCCAGAGACAAGACAGAAAGCCCCAAAAGCACTGCAGCACCAGAGAAGGAGAAGAAGCAGATTACAACATCTCCTGTTCCTGTGCGTCGTAATAAGAAAGACGAAGAGCGGAGGGGGGAGTCTGGAAGAGTTGCGCTGTACTCCCCTCAGGCCTTCAAGTTCTTCATGGAGCAACATGTGGAGAACATTTTAAAGAACCATCAGCAGCGGATTCGGAGGAGGAAGCAGCTGGAAAGTGAAATGCAAAGGGTGAGAAGAAATTAGTAACAACATAGGTGGAAGGATTTTCTTAATTAATTGACCAGTTATAGATGCAGCTCTTTGACCTTTTGCTATTTTCCAACCTTTTATCATCATCACTATATTATCTACCTTTGAGATGTCTTTTTCATGCTGTTTGTTTTCTTAGCTTTTTCTTCCTTTCTCTTCTCGCTGTCACTAACAGCCGATCTAACAGGTAAAAGTATCTCTGCTGACCTGTGACACAGAATAGTCCACACACATCAGTTATTCAAGTAAGCTGTTGTTGAGAGACTGCTCTTTGTATTTTACATGTACTTCATATTCTGAAAGCATGTTTGCCCCTGTGGCTGAAGGAAATGCATGCCACTCCATGATCACCATCTCATTGATAATGCCACTGCTTGTGCAGTTTTGCTAAAAAGGATATTGATAATGCACTGAAAATGTATTTATTTTTTCCATTTTACTTTAATTGCATTGATTTTTCACAGTTGATTCTCCTAATGCCAGTTTATATCTAACCAGGAATATGTGTGTATGTGTAGATCTTTGTTGACATTCTGATCATATCATTCTCTTTTAAATCACTTTTGACTCTGTCTTCTGCTCAGGTGGGTCTGTCTCTAGAAGCCCAGGAGCAGATGCGTATGATGCTCTGTCAGAAAGAGTCCAACTACATCCGGCTAAAGCGGGCCAAGATGGATAAGTCCATGTTCAAACGAATCAAGACCCTTGGTATCGGAGCCTTTGGTGAGGTGTGTTTGGCCAGAAAAGAGGATACAGGATCATTGTATGCAATGAAAACACTTCGTAAGAAAGATGTGCTGCTGAGGAACCAGGTGGCCCACGTCAAGGCTGAGAGGGACATCCTGGCTGAGGCTGACAACGAGTGGGTGGTGCGTCTCTATTACTCTTTCCAAGACAAGGATAATCTGTACTTTGTCATGGAGTACATCCCTGGAGGGGACATGATGAGCCTTCTCATTCGGCTCGGCATCTTCAAAGAAGAGCTGGCTCAGTTTTATATCGCAGAGCTCACCTGTGCCGTGGAGAGCGTCCACAAGATGGGCTTCATCCACCGGGACATCAAGCCTGATAACATCCTCATAGACCGAGATGGACACATAAAGCTGACAGACTTTGGCCTTTGCACTGGCTTCCGCTGGACGCATGACTCCAAATATTACCAGAGTGGTTGGTGTCACTATTTATCAACTGTTAAATTCACCCAGAAATCTGCAGTAGATACCTTGAGCTCTCAAATACAAGCATGTTGTAAAATGATGGCTGTAAGGAAAAAAGGGAACTAAAACTTACTTATATAAATAAGCAACAATTAAACAAATGCGTTCAGTTACAGTCAGAAAAGACAAAAACAAAACGGCTAATCCTCACATCAGAATCAGTTCTGGTTAATTTTATGTGAAGTAACTAATGATTTCAGCTGCACCATCATTAGCAGCCCCATCCTCACTGTCTTAAATTGGCAGGGCACAATGCCACTTAGTACTAATGGTATGAAGAAGTCTAATTGTGTTGTGTTGATGTGTATACTAAATTGATGATAGCATCTGTCAAAAAGTACACAGTCAGTATGCAGGGCACTAGTCTTTCAGAGTCCATGTGGTTTATATTGCAACAAACTTTGTGAAGGTTATAAAGTCATCAGCAGAAGACAGAGAATCTGTAATCTAACTTGGAGTTTCTGTCTTCTGACAAAGGTATAGTCAAATTACTCTGCTGATGAACATAATTAGATATTTGATTATTGGCAGTTTCAATCCAAAAATAATGTTTGGTTTTCTAAAATCTTGGAACCCCTCAGACACATTGAGAAGTCATATGCATTGGATATCTTGGACATCATGAAACTGCTATACAGTATGCAGGGCAGAAACACTCAGCTGATCGGTTTAATAAGCAAAGCAATCAGCATTGTCCTTTGTGACCCATATCCAGGGGACCACATGAGGCAGGACAGTATGGACTTCAGTAAGGAATGGGAGGACCCGGCTAACTGCCGCTGTACAGACCGTCTGAAGCCTCTGGAGAGGAGACAGGCCCGGCAGCACCAGCGCTGTTTGGCTCACTCACTGGTGGGGACACCCAACTACATAGCACCTGAAGTGCTGCTCCGAACAGGTACGATAGGGCAGAGAGGAACACTGAATTTTATAACGGCAACAGAGAAATGGTATTTAATGTGGGCCGGTTGTGTCAGTGTTGGGGCGATACTGATCATATCTCAAATATGATATTTGTAAAATATGATTTGAATTTCTTTTGGTTTCAGATTTCTGATCAGATAAAAAGGAAAGAACAAAACTAAGACCTTTAGCTGAAAGAATGCATAGATAAGAATCTGGAATCAGTGAATGATTGCCATTTTTGCTTTACAAATGAAAAAAATAATGATCAAAAGAATGGCAGACTGATTTTCTGTCTATTAATCAGTTGATCAGCATGCAGTCTCAGCTGTACAGAGATTTTATAAGCTACCGCTGATAGATATTACTATCCTTGGTCTGTCACTATCCACAAAAATAAAATTAGAAACTAGAGCACCAAAGCAAGCAGACTTTGTAACCAAATACAACATTGACTAGAGGTTTTAAAACCCTCCTGAGAGATTGTTTTTGTTGTTGCAAAGATGACTGGTGTAAACCTTTCTTTAATCTTCTCCAGGATACACCCAGCTCTGTGATTGGTGGAGCGTCGGTGTCATCTTGTATGAAATGGTTGTTGGACAACCTCCCTTCTTAGCAAACACACCCCTGGAGACACAGCTAAAGGTATGTGAGGCACCTGCACTGAAATGTTATGCAGCTACAGAATTCATTCTTTCTTAATGTCAACATTCTGTTGAAACCAGGTGATAAACTGGAAGAGCACGCTGCATATTCCTCTGCTGGCTAAGCTCAGCCCCGAGGCGTCAGATCTCATAGTTAAACTGTGTCGAGGCCCTGAGGACCGCCTTGGTAAGAACGGTGCGGACGAAATCAAAGCTCATCCTTTCTTCAAAACAATCAACTTCTCAAGTGACCTGAGGCAGCAGGTGGCACCGTACATCCCCACCATCGCCCACTCCACGGACACCTCCAACTTTGACCCAGTGGACCCAGATAAACTTTGGAGCAATGACAGTGATGGGGGGGACAACCACAACGACACCCTCAATGGCTGGTTCCGCAATGGCAAACACCCCGAACATGCATTCTACGAGTTCACCTTCCGCCGCTTCTTCGATGACAACGGCCACCCATACAGCTGCCCCAAACCCATTGAGTATGAGGGCTATAATGAGGACGAGGCGGACTCAGAGGGCCCGGGGCAAGAAGCATGCTCAGCGCCACAGGGCCGAGACCTGGTCTATGTGTAGCACCTGAGGTCAGCTCAGCTGCCTAATGAGTTTGTGGCCCGTGTGTGTGTGTGTGTGTGTGTGAGAGAGAAAGCGGTTGCAACGGTACAGCATTTAAAACCTTGATCATAGGAAAATGAGTTTTTTATAAAAAAAAAAAAGTTTTTAGGAGCAGTCAGAACACTGCAGCACAAAATCACATTAATCTTTTTTGTTTTGTTTTGAAACAAAAAGAAACTACAAGAAAAGGAATAGTTTGACATCTTGATAAATGATCTTATACCTGTGTAGCGCTTTTTTTTTTTTTTTTTTTTCATTGCGGCACACTCAGTGCTTTCACACTATTTGTCCATTCACACATTCACACACAGGTAATATCACTGGTAGCAACTGGTGGTTCAGTGTCTTGCTCAAGGACACTTCGACATGTGGACTGGAGAAGCTGGGAACTGAACCGCCAGCTTTCCAGTTAGGAGACAACCCTGCTCTACCTCCTGAGCCACAGCTTCCCCAAAGCTTTGGGAAAGCTTTACATAAGAAGCCACTGCCACACATATTTATACAGTAAATTTGAAGGCACAGCCAGCAGCAGGTTAGCTTAGCTTCACATAAAGATTTGAAAAGGGGAAACGGCTTCCCTGGCATCCAAATGTAACAAAATCTCCAATGCTCAAGTTAATTAATGCATTACAGCTGGGTCTCCAACTAAGAATTATTTTCCTTTCAGATTAATTGTTTTGTATATATAATATCACAAAATACTGGGTTTCCCTGCCATAGAAAGGTTAGGGGCAGCACCTAAGTGTTTTTGCAGAGCACCTTAAGCTGAATGAACATAAAAAGTCCTTTAGGAGACGTCAGAATGAATGTATGCTAAAAAATTATGTGTGCTGAAAAAAAAACTTTCATGGCAACACGATGCTTCTGCTGTGCCCCCTGGTGGTCCCCGAAGGCATAGCAAGTAGTCCCTGACCATGTGTTCAGTAATGTAGTTTCACTGTAGGGTTTATAAAAAAAATAAATTGTTGCATGAGAATAATCAAAATCATTTAAATTTATAACACTTATAAAGGTCAAGGATTAAAATAGATTTCAGGATTAAAATAGTGCCCACCCGGTCTATCCACCCCACAATTGTCCTCAGGCTACTTCTTAGTGAGAATAGTGGCCCCTGGGTCACAACTTGTTGAAAATCACCATAGAACAGTAATTATTTTAATTTGGGTTTACTATCAGGTTTGTTGAACAGTTAAGCTTTGTATTGAAGAAACAGTCTGGCACATAACTCCTCTTAAAACTCAAACTTTTCATTTTTATTCTGTGGTCTATGTATGGATCAGACAAAATACAACATGTTACTGAGTTTTAGAGGTGCTGAGGTGCTGGCAGACAGATTTATCTTTAGACCGTACCAGGCTAGTTGTTTCACCTTGTTTCTAGTGTTTATGCTAAGCTAAGCTAAGCAGCTGCTGGCAGTAGCTTCATACTTACAGACACAAGAGTGGTATCGATCTTTTCATCTAACCTTTGGCAGGGAATGGAATAGGCGTTTCCCAAAATGTTGAACATTTCCTTTAATGTGTGGAGGGTACACTGTATGATGTATGCTGCCTGAAAAACCTCCAGAAGAACAGAAAGCAGAAAAACATCAGGGTCCTCTCTTTGATGACTTATTGCAAAGCCCCTCAAAACCTTAATTTATTTAAGAAAATTGTAACTGGTGATGCTAGTGTACATGTTGCTTGAGTGTGGGAATTCTTGTTGGAATTGCATTTATTGGTTAAAAAACATCTTAATTTATATTTTAATATCTTATGCAGTGGGCGGGAGGGTAGTGTTGTGACTCAGAAATTTGCAGGGATAAAATATTCTAATTATTCATTTCTGTGCCTTTTTGATCTTTTCTGTTGTCTTTCACCAAATATAAAGAGGGTTAATAATCAGACTGGCATTTTAAAATTTGAGTAGCAGTAGTGTGATTGAACTACAGTAGATTTGTTTTATTTTTCTAATTTATACCTAAAATGTATTTATAAATTAAGTTGTACACAGTTGATGTAAATATTTTCTCTTCCCTGTCAGCTGATTTTTTTTTTCCTACCCCATTAGGGCAGGACCTCTCAGAGTGCACCACTGCTGCCTTTTGTGTACTTTTTGTTTCTTGTGTACCCAACAACATTAATTCACAGGATTCCAAATTGATGTGACACCTTTCATTTAACTTACTTATTGCCATTCAGACTTAATGCTTGTCTCTCAACCAAAGCACTAAAGAGGTGGGTTTGACCTTTTCTTTTTAAAATAACCCACGTTTAGAAAATAGCAATCACAACATATTGTGATTGTGTATCAATATGGTGATATCACACTATCTATCAGCCAGAAACGCCTTGCTTGTCTGGTTCATCTTACACTAAAGTAATGTGTGTAAGGACCTGGGGAACTTTTAAACCCAGCTTCTTAAAAGTAATTTCCTTACTTCTTGTCAACAGCCAACTGTTGTGTGTTGAGTTTTTGTGCATCAGTACTGACAACAAAAAAGGAAAACTGGATTGCGGATTGATAGACTGACATGGGAGAGGACTGCTCTCTATCACATATCATGAGGATGATTTTGTAACCCACTGTATCTTTGTTTTTGTTTAGAAAAGATTACTGAATGTAGTTATTATGGACTTAATGGTGACCACTGGCATTCTGCACTGGTTTTGTGTTTTCATTGTAAGTGAGAGAATTTTATTTTTGTGTACATTATTGTTTCTGGGACGTTTTGGTACAGGGAAGAGGGTGATAAATAAAGAATGTCAAGAGCAAAACATGCTTTAATATTCCCATGTCGAAACAGACAGTTTTACAATTAAGGATTATTTTCATTATCAAATTCAATATCTCAATTATTTTCCCAGGTAATCAATAAATACTGCATAAGCACATGTAGCTAAATGCCCAGAAGTGTTCTAAAACCAAAGTTACGCCACACATCTGGGTAATTAGAATGTTTTTTTTTTTTTTTATTTAGAAGCATATCACCAATTTTCCTTGGGGTGAACTGTGCTGTTCCTGTGGCACACACTCCATTGGTGGACTATTGTTTACGAAAAGACTGGACATCACAGCGCGGTAAGTCTTGTTTTCTAACATGACGAACCTTTCGCATGATTACTCAAATCACGAGAAGAAACGGCTGTCATTTGTTTATAGCAGGACAGCTTTCTATTCTGTACATCCCACTAGCTGATATGCTAATGTTAGCTAGCATTAGTATCTGATGCTGTAAAACGCGCCAAATTCAGTTTACTAAGGGTCCTGAAGTGTGGTTACACAGCTCAGTGACGTGTTTGCACAACTGATACATTTAAATAACTTCCATACAAAAGTTCTCCTTACGTTTTTGTAGTGTATATGTTTTAGAAAAGTTCGTGAACGTGTTATTTCCCAACACGTTGATTCACTGAGGTCGCTAACCTGCCAGTTGCACAGATTGGACTAACACCACTTCATAAACTCAGCAAAACCTCAAACGAACTCCTTAGCGAAACGATTTTATTTAAATTGCTGGTGACTATTTCAGTCTGAATCTAGAGCAACTACCAGGGTATACAGTTATTTCTCCAGGTCGTTTCATACAGATAAAAGCTTCTGTCCATCATGTAAACAGTTTTATCTCGTCTGCCATGAAAAAAAAGATGCTGGCCAATGATGATTTTAGCCACCAGAGGGCACCAAAGTGTTTATATTTTTCTCTGACAGTAGAGACCTAAGATGGGAACCAGTAAACAGGCCCAGTGATCCAGTTCATTATGACCTGATGTGCACAATCATGATGAGATTTACCACACAGAGAGTTAATATATTTTGGTGTTTTATACTAACAAGAAATGATCATGTGTGGCAGGAAACTACAGATAAGTGAGTAATTTATATATACAAATTAATTTTTAGAGTGGGGTTATTACTTATTATTACTCAACTTTTTTTTTGCTCTCTATCCTAGCCATGAATAGTTACTTTATTTCTGTTGTTAATTGCAAAAGTGGAATTAGAAGAGGAAATTGAAGCCTACTGCCACACACATTTCAGACTTAATGGCCAATTCATTTTTTTTTTAAACAAAATAATTTGTAATGTGGTGACACATGCTGAGTATGACAATAACCCATTAAAAACCACATGAATTCTGATCCCACCACTCTGACAGTGGCTGCATGGATTGAATATGAAACTGATCAAGGGCCACATATGCAAATTTGGGCCACTTTCTTAATGTGAACATAAAGATTATGTCCCAAAAATAAGCTCTGGAGCCTTTGCTAATATTCTTCACTTTTTACAATTTATCATCATTGCACTAACTTCCTGTCCCCTTGTTTATACAAAACAGAGCCATCATTTGTACTCAACTGTTTTTCTTTCTGTAGATATGAAAATATCTGCAGTGAAGACAGACTATGGTCGACACTGGTGAGTCTATTTTGTGAAAGACTGACAACATTGACCATTTTGACCTGCACATTTAGGAACCAACCATAGTCCAGAAACCACAAGTATTCGGTTGTCGAATACTCTGATTAGTTTCTCGCTTAACTGACAAATTGCTTTGTCTGCACAATGCCATGAAAACTTTTCATAATTTTTCCGGAGTCAAAAACGCATCCTCAAATGGGTTGTTTTGTGAAACCACAAAATATTCATTTTACAATGAGGCACAAACAAATAGCAGTATATGCTCACATTTAATGAGCTGGAACCAGTGGCTGTTTGGCATTTTTGCTTAAAAAAATATCAAAAATGATATCTGAATAGTTCCCATCATCAGCTAGTCCATTAATCGTTGCAGCTCTACTTTGATTCATCAGTGAAATGGTTTGTGGAGAAAATAAATAAGAGACTGGGCAAATAGTGGAAGTGTGACCAAACCCATACTCAAGAGTGCTGTCACTCTCCCTCTGAAATTATAAAAACACAGAAGGGGACTAATGTGGATGAAAGTACATCCAACATGTATGTTTGTTCTGAAACGGGAACAAAGTCAGAAGAGATGGTGAGCAGAGGCCATTGAGCACTGAAGTTGTCTTCATACCATACTGTAGATGGACAAGAGTCGCCACTTCCCTCCACTATGCAACAGTGAAGCCAAAATATTGTGAATACAGCGGCTGCCATCTGGCAACCAGCATTTGCACAATAGCAACAAAAACAGGGGTGACAGCGTCAGACCGGCAATCAAAGCTGTCAAATCATCTGAAATATACCCGTTTTATATAATCAAGCAACTTATTAAAATTAAACCTACCGGATATAACTTGTAATCAGTGTTTTTAGTTCAGCCGATGTCACATCTGCTAACATGGATGGAGCATCACGTTATGACCCTGTAATGCAACCAGCCATCAACTCAGTGGTTTCACTTCTGGAGCTGTTGTGTTGTCCATACAGTCTGTGGTTCATACCAGAAAAAATAGATAAATCAGGATCACAGCCACTCACTTTTGCTTTTCTTCCCAAGCCTCAAATTTTTATAAAATCTGCTTAGTGTCAGGCTGAGATAGTAAACGCCACACTGGACATCATTGAGGACAAACAAGGTAACTTAAACAGGCTTAATTTTAATGGATCTGCAAAATTGTTTGAATCTCCAAAGAGAACTTCTGTACCTCCCGCCCAGTTACCCAGTGGCAAACGTTACAGAAATGCTTCCAACCCAAAGAAATCTGCATGCAGGAAGGAAAAAAAAAAAAAGCCCAAACAAGGAAAATAAAAGTAAAATAAATCATACAGATAAAAATAAAACATCAATAAACAGTATATACTGTAAAATGCCATTCTCTTGGCTGGAGGAGAAATTCAAACCTTTCTGCTTCAGTTTGAACAAACAGATTATTAAACTAATTTTATTGGGTGAATGTGGCTCCGCCCACCACACAGCCCCAGCCCCTGTCTTCCATATAAGGCACAGGACAAAATAAACCCCCACTTACAAAAAGAAGCCAGCCACGCCTCTGTCACTTGGTAACAAATTGTAAAGGACCAAATACAGTTAGACAACAGAAACCCCACTAAGTGTACAAAATGTTAATCCTACATTTGTCTTTTTTGTTTGATTTTTATCTTGATTTCCTCTGAATGAAAGTGAATGCTGTGGGTGGGGAAGGGGTTAAGGGTGGCGAGGGGGCAGTGAGGGTGTCCAACCAGGTGAGCTCAGGCAAAGGAAATATTAAAAATATGAGCTTGTTGTTTCACACTTTTTGTACAGCCTTTAAAACAAAAGACAAGAAACGTGACTGGATTTCTCTTTTTATCAGAAATAAAAATGATCATCAGATGGAGAGTGGAAGAATATGGAGGAGAAGGGATTAGACAAGTGAAGTGGTTTATTTTTTTACTCTGATAAAGAGACAGTGTCAGTGTGTAAGAAAACTTATGAGACAGGTTAGAAGGTGAGAAAGTTAGGAGTTAGCAGTTAGAATGAGAGTATGTGTGTGTGTGTGCGTGTGTCTGTGTGCTTTAGTGTAAGTGAAAGAGTTGTTGTTGTTGTTGTTGTTGTTCAACTGCAGCACTTGCTCTTCCAGCCTGTGACTCCACCTCCACTGCTGATGTCAACATTTTCACTGTTGGGCTCTTTTACAGGCGTCTGAATAACACAACAAAAAAAAACAATGCATGCTATTAAATACATGAGAAAAATCATGGTACTGTGAATAATTCTGCACAGAAAGTCCAAATAACATTGTGTCAGTGAAAACTTCGACAAGAGCCATTTAACATTTTTCACAACAACGATGTGACTAAAATGAAAAGTTTGAAAACAAGAACTACCGTAAAATCCGGACTATTGAGCGCACCTGACTATAAGCCGCACCCACTAAATTTAAGAAGAAGAAAAAAATTTGTACATATATACACATACAGTGCCTGTAACCGGGCTGGTTGACAAAATCGTCTCACCATCGATTCATTGATGCCAAGCTTACATGCAGCAGCTCTATTTCCTTCTTCGACAGCCAGCTCAATCGCCTTTAACTTGAAAGCTGCATCATATGCATTTCTTCCTGCGTTTTCCATGATGAGGGTGTGTGCATGAAGCGCAAAATGACTGATCTGAAGAATTTAGTGAGTGCATTTGATTTAATTCGAACACTTTCATTGGTCCACTGTGACCTGTTTGGTAATTTCATTGGTCTGATGTGACGAGGCTAAATGTATTGGCGGCATGAAGCTGGTTAGCCCATAAAAATCCATAAATTAGCCGCATCACTGTTTAAGCCGCAGGGTTCAAAGCGTGTGAAAAAAGTAGCGGCTTATAGTCCAGATTTTACGGTATGCTGAATTTCTTTGTTATTGAATAAAAACTAAATTATACTGTGACGGATGAACGGACAAGAATACCATAAACTGTAGCTCCCAATAAGTAAAAAATAAACACAGGTTGAGGAACCGCTAAAGGTTCTTATTCCCAGGGAAAGTTCCTCTGGTCGAAACAGGGCTTTAATTACTAAATGTATCCCAGCAATATCAATCAATCAAACTAGATAGTGCTAGCGTTTGGGGAGTGGAAACCTCTGTGGAAGGATCCTTCACATCCTCTGCTCAGCTGTGAGTGTGTATGAGAGTATGCAGTCCCCCACTCTAAATTGACTGACAGTGCAAAATACAGCGGAAAAGCAAAGGACGGTCCATGTCAATCCATGAGGTTACACCAGGTGAGGGCTAAGGGAAGCACGGTGTATACTACTCCTTAGGTTCTGACAGCACAAATGCAGCTATGAAGTGCAGCTGGAACACCAGCATCTTCGCTGACAGACCACTGTGCTCTGATTGAGATGTAGCTGCCTGCTAATAGTGCTAGCTTGGTCAGATACTGAGTACTCACATCACTGAAAATGATAACAGGTTTGAGAAAAAAAAAAAAATCATAATTTAGCACAAACTAATTTAGTCACACAGACGGCACACGCACCTTTCTGAGGATGTCTTCTGCTAACGTGAGGAAAGCCTTCTCGATGTTGATGTTAGCCTTAGCGCTCGTCTCAAAAAACCTAATGCCGTGTTCCCTCGCAATCTGTGGAGAAGAAAGCAGAGCAAGTGACAACGATAAGTGTTCAAAAATAAAGTGGCTCACTGATTACTGATCACTAAAGCTGATTCTGATTCAATACTGATCAGGTATCGCTGGTGTTACTAACTCAAACACACACACACAGTTTATGTTTCGTAGTCCATGGGGACTTTACATTGACTTACATGCATTTCCTGTAGACTAACCCTAACCCTGACCTTAACCTAACATCATCCTAACCCTAAACCATGTTGCCACCCTAAAAAATTCAATTTTTTGCCCATGGGGACCTCAATTTAGGTCCCCACTGTGAAATGGGTCCTCATGAGTTGGTATGGAGTCAGGAAGAAGTCCCCATGTAGCAGGAAAAACACGTCCACACACACACACACACACACACACACACACACACCATTCAAAGCAGGTAGTTGTGTGTATGAGAAAGTGGACCTGTATCTGATGTTGCTAAATCTGCAAAGTGACTAGTCAGAGCTCATAAAGCCCTGTAGACCCACACGTGTTTTCACTTGTTCTGGCCGATTAGATCTTTGCTTGGATAGAACCGGTGCATTGTCTGATTTCTCCAAGTTGCCTAGAAATGTAGATGCAATTCTGTGTCACACACTGTATGTTTTCGGTGAACTCACACCTTAAAGTAACTGCTGAGTCAAAAATGTGTTTATAGTCTGTGCTTATATTTACTTCACTGTGCAGAATGATGTACATCTAAGTAAAACAAAAAACTAACTAATGCAGCCTAATATACCGGCCCTGCGATAAATCCTCCTTCATGAATCTGATAATGTTCAGTTTCTTATTGAAACAGTTTTCAGAGTTGTTGATAAACAGCAGCTTATTGCAGAGTCCCTATAGAAGCACTGTTTTTAGTGGAAGTTTTAGGCCGCAAGTTCCAATACCAATATTAAATCTGTTCTTTATGAACCTTCTCTGAATGTAACTATCAATGTGATAATCTGTTACGGTTTTCCAGCTATTTATTTTCCAGGTATTATATTTTCTGAGTGTTGAATTAGCCCTGAGGAAATGGTGTTTTCATGTAAAAGCAAGCCTGTTTTCAGCATGTCATGTTGTCAGAGTGAAAAGATGCAACTGCAATGGGATTAACTGCTGCAGACTTAAAAGAAAAATAAGCCTGAATTTGACATGTAGATCCAAAGCAGCGGCAACTAATCAGCTAATCTGGGACCTTAGTGACGAAGGGCCATTTATAGCTGCAGTAGACTGCACAATCTCACCTGCTCCCCCTTGGCTTTTGGTACGACCCTCTTGTCTTCCATGTCACACTTGTTGCCTAGCAACATCCTCTCAACATCCTCATTTGCATGCTGAAAAAACAAAGATGAAAGAGAAGATTATTATATTAGTTCTTCACATTAACCCACATTGAACTGGCATATGGTTGTTTTGACTCATTAGCATTTGGAATGGATCCCATAAGCCTATCAGTCAGTCAGCAGTTAAGGTCATTAACATGCTTTGCATCTAGAAGTAATTTAATCTGTCCATCTGAGGAATG